GCTCTTTAGGGCGCACCTTCAGATTTGCGGAAATCGCGCTAACCCATTATCAAGGCAGTGCAATGAACGGATGAATCTCTCAATGATAAACAAGAACTGCACGCCACAACCTTGTGAAGTACCGCCGATCATCTTAGTAGCAGAAACTCGGAAATGCACGCCGGTAATTGTTCAGACAGACGAAATGACAACAAATAGCTGGAGTTGCGAAAAAAAAACGTCACCAAGAAACCTGAAAACGTTTTGTTTTGATGGTGCTGATGATGAAGTGTTACGCTTGTTGTTGTTTGTTGTCGTTTACGTGGTTGTTGTCGCTCAATCTCTTGTAGCGACAGAGCGGCGGCTGATGCTGCTACCTGTTCACGTGCTGCCGTACGGTCTCAGAGTTTATAAATGTTCAAGACGAGACGCAGGGCGCAGCAGTTTCTCGGTAAACCTCAGACGTGCGCAACCCATAGCAAAAATTAAGCGAATTTAGATTAAGTTTTAATGTTGCTTTTTTCTTTGCGATGTTATAATATTTTTTATAACTCACACGCTCAAAGTCACAACGAATGCTCCATAAAAGCAATAAAGTCAAGCTATAAAGCAATACAAAAGAAATTTTATGTGCAAATTTAAAAAAAAAAATAAATAAATTCCAACGAAAGTGAAGTACAATTTAAATTGGAATATTTGTGAAAACCAAATAAGTTCACTTTTCTTAAAGTAAGTCTCAGCTGATAATCGAAAACTTAAAAGTCTTTAAGAAATATGTGGCCTAGTTTCCACTGCATCCGAATGTGCTGCAATATGCACTGAATAATTACTACCAAAGTCAGTGCATATTGACTTAGGTCTACGCGCTCAAGTGAGAAACACAAAAACCATAATAATATTTGTAAGGGTCGACCCACATGCATAATCTGCAGAGGAGTACTAACAAAGTGCCTAATACCGATTCCATTATTAACACCCAAACGCAACATCAATCGTGAAATCAAACGGGCTGCTAAGATTACAAAATCCATAATATATTATTATTTTTTTGTTGTTTATAAACTTGCCAAAAATGGGCATTATTGAAACGGATGCCACTAAAGGTGAAGGTGCCGGCTCATTTGCATAGCATATATACAAGAAGAAAAAAAGTTTCAAAAAAGAGATGCAAAACCCAAAGGCGGTTCGCCCTTGAAATGGTTTCATCGAAGAGCAATTAACTAACCAGCTATCGAAACGGGCTTACAGCGAAAACCATGTCAGACTACATAAGTAAAGCGCATATACCACACTATATATATACATATATCTATATATATATGTGAGTTTTTATGAATTGGACTTAGTTTTTTTTTTTTTGCACATGTCACACGAGCGTACAATTTGCTTTGGCCGCAGGGCTTCAATTTGGCCAAATCTCCCGAATGGGCTGAACAACTGTGCAAATATTGAAAACTAAAAGTATTTGCCGAAAACTGATCAAAATTCAATTCAATAATGAAAGGCAAATATGGCCAAAAAAAAAAAACCCTGCCTAATAATAAGCAGAGACAGGCATCTTAGAAGCCATCGAAAATGTCACCTACGACTGATTAGTGGAGTTGTAAGCTAATGACTTGTGCTTGTTTTAAAAGAGAGAGAGAAAAAAACCTAGTACCAGACTAGTACAGTAGAGCAATGAGTTTGTCGTTGAACGAATCGCAGACGGAGCACTTGGAGGCAATAATATTGGCAAGTTCGAATTTGACAGACACCCCAATAAACCTTCAAGTGACTTGTGACTTTAATTGTTTTTGATTTTATGTGTTTGGTTTGTTTTTTACCTAGCTGATCTGCTGCAGTATATAAACATATATATATACATGGCTACGTCATGAGTTGGCATTGAAGCGCACTTACGATATGCCTAAAAACTGGGTGAGGGGATAATTGATGTTTGAACTTGATTTGTTTGCCTCAGACCCGTACAATCTATGGGCCATTGTCATGAACAGTATCGGGTGCAAGGCTCTTAATGAGCAGCTATTTGTTAAATTTGGACTCTTGGATAAAACGGGGATTTCACAAAAACGCATACTCACACACACTTTCAGTTCCGGTGGGAAGCGCACAAGTGCTGAGTGTATGTCCCACTCCGAGAGAGCTCCACTAATTGTATTTGCATACGCCGTGTACGAAAGTGGCCTGAAAAAAAGATGAAATAAAAAAACTGTTACCGCTTGTAATTGACAGCCAAGTGAACACTCGAGTATATTCATGAGCGTACTAACCATAACATTGACAATGCAACTAATTCATTTACTTGTTTTGCAGCTATTGCCGCTGACGATAGCGGTCCAGACGATATGCTGCGATACGGATATGGTTTAGCATTAGCTCTAAGCCTGAGCCTGATCTTTGCTTCTACTGGCAAACAGAACGATTCGACGCTACAGTTGCGTCCATATAGTCATACGATTCTGAATGGCAGCAGCAGCAGCAGCAATATCTGGTCGGAGAAGGACTTGGAAGTGACAGTCACGGTAAATGATCGACATAAAGCACAGTTGGCGCACAGCTCTATCATCTATGGGTTAGCAGAAGTGGCCAACGCGAGCAATGTGAATGCCATTTGCTACGCGCAATTGAAGCAAGTGCAGCGCGGGATCCTCAACAAACAGCCTTGGGCTATGAAAGGTGATCATTATTATTTTAATATGGCAGATCTCTTTATTTTTGACTGTTTAAGATCTTTAAGAGCTTACCGTTCCTTTTGCAGTGCTCGATGCCTCTGGCGCCAAGTCTTCGGGTTTTGTTTTTGGCCAAAACTATTGGCTGGGCAGTCGGGAGGGCTGCAGCAGCGTCCAGCGACCGATGGGCATTACGTTATCCAAGAACTATGAGCGTATTATGCACCATGGCCTCATAACGCAGCAGGCGCCTTTTGACATGGACTATCGTGTGGTCTATTTGCGACACAATTCGCCCTGGCAAGTGGAAATAAAACTAATGTCCGAGCAAATCCTACACATTGGCCTGTGCCTGCCCAGCGCGTGCCAGTCGAGCGAGATGCAGCAGCTGACCAGCGATTATGTTGCGGGCAGCTTCAAGGAGAACGACATCTTTGAGCTGCTGCCCGAGGTGCTATACGTGAAGAATCTGAAGCTGCGCGACAGTTTCTATGATCGATTGAGTTTCAAGCTTGTCGTCGGCTTCGTGCTGGCCACCTGTGCCTTCATGCTGTGCGCCCAGCAGCTCAGCGTGGCCAAGCAGCTGCCGCCGGAGGGGCATGACGATGGTGTGGGTCTGGCGCCAGTCGAATCGGAAATATGGAGAGCTTTGCACTCCATGCTGCAGTGGCGTCCGTTGCAAAGCTTTGTCAGCTGCTACGATGTGGTCAGCAACTGGCGCAGAATCTTTGCCACGCGCGAGAGCAGCCCCTCGCAGATACCCTTGCTCAATGGACTACGTTCCGTGTGTGCCATTTGGATATTGATATTTCATGTCGTTTGGTTTATGTACTTTACGGTACACAACAAAACGGAGCTCATATCCTATGCCGAGCAGATCTTCTTTCAGTATGTTTCTTCCGCGCCACTGCTGGTGGATGTCTTCTTCACCATCAGGTGGGTACATGGCACGGTGGAATGCGAGTCTGATCTAATCCTCGACTGTTTGCAGTGGCTTCCTGCAGACCTATAACTTTATGCGCAACGTCAAGCAAATGGAGGCAGTGCGTCAAAATGGTTTTATGGCCAATGCCAAGCTCTTTGGCAAGCTGCTCTTCCATCGCTATCTGCGACTGGGCCCGCTTTACATCATTATCATTGGCAGCGTGGACCTGGTATTCGCCTACATTGGCGACACCTCCGTTTACCACATTCATGAGCGCTTCGATGAGCTGTGCGCCCAGCATTGGTGGCGCAATCTGCTTTTTATACAGAATCTCTTTGATCTGCAGGACATGTGCGTCAATTGGAGCTGGAGCGTCGCCTGCGATATGCAATTCTTTCTGTTGGCCAACGCGATTTTGTTTCTCTATGCCAAGTGAGTATTTACTTTGTCTCATATTGTTGTGTGCTTTATCGAAGCTTTGTTTTTAGACGTCCTAAGTGGGCGCGACTTGTGGCAGTCGCTGGCTTGCTGGCAACCATCAGCTGGTCCTATAGCATTGGCATCAATTCCAAGTTTGAGTTCTCTTTCGACACAGTCTACGGCACGGGCACACAAATCTATATAAGTCCGTTTGTTCGGGTGCTGCCCTATATTGTTGGCTCCATGGCCGCCTGGTGCTTTCTGGAGCGCCGTCTGCGCTGCAAGTTGAGCGATATGCAACAGCGCTGGCTTTGGCACTTCTGCCTGCTGGTCTTCTTCATTTGCATCTACGCGACCGTCAAGCGTGACTTTGGCCATCTGGTGACCATCTCATTGTTTGTACTAGGCCGAGTGGCCTTCTCGCTAAGTGTTTGCTGGATGATTGTTGGCAGCGCCACGGGGCGTGGCGTTTGGTGGTCTCGCTTGTTGGAGGCTCGATGCTTTCAGCATATGAATCGGCTGTCCTATGCCATTTATTTGCTAAATCCCATGGTGATTGCACTCATTTACGGGCTGACAAACTCCAGCACTCATGCGGATCCCTTAATGCTGGTATGTAATGTAATTGATGCATCAATTATTATTTTATTTTTGGGCAATTGCAGTGCGTTGTCTCCTGCGGCTTCACAGTGATTGTTTACCTGACGTCCATTGTCTTTTCAATGGCATTCGAGCTGCCATACAGCAACTTGTCCAGTTTGTTGTTAAGTAAACCAAAAACTACCTAACTTGTGATCATCTGTTCTGTGAACAATGCTTTATAAACAACTAAGTGCGTTTAGTATAACTGTTAAATATTTACATAATCGACGTAGCCAGTTTATCAACATACTATAATATATATATGCAATAATTTTAAGTATTACTTGCTAACCAAATAAAGAAAACCAGCCGATTTTAAAAACTGAACTAAAATGTTATCGATAAATGCAAGGCACATTTTCTTATTGGCGGGCAGCGACTGTGTGTGAAATTGCGTTCGCAGCCAACTTTATGCTGCGCAGAATTGATCGAAGGAGAATTTTGCTGGCGCCGCGTGAAGTTGGCTGCAATTCCATTTTTATTTAAAGAAAGATGCGCGCCAAGCTAAAGTTTGAATAAAATCTACATCGATAAACATAATTGAAGGCTGATCTCTCTCGATCTGTCTGAATAAACATATTCATTATACATTAAAATTAAACTAAACATTTAAATTCAGTAATATTTACAACACTAATTACATATACATGTAAATCGTAGAATCTATACGCTAGGAATGTGAGTGTGTGTGTGTGGGTGAGAGTGTGTATGAGTGGGTGGATATATTCAAGCTCTTCCACGCAGCATGGCACGACATCTAATGAGTAGCAGCACAAAACAAGCAACGTCATCACTAAAAAACTAATCTTTAAGATAGTGCTCCAACGGATTTGATCCCAGGAGCCGCGATGTGGCCGTCTCGTCTGAAAGAATTGATGGGATTAGCTGGTGTTGAAGGTGGGCGAAATAGTTCACTCACTTGATCGTGCCGGCTTTGCAGTGGTGGTGCTCTCCGTTCGCTGCGATTGCAGACAGTTCAACCACTCGGACAACGAGATTTTCTTATCGCCATTCGCATCACAGTAGCGAGGCATTTTCTTGCCGCATTTGCTCAAATTGCTGCAGCGAAAGATTAAATATAATTTAAAGAATTCAATTTTAAAAAGGAGTTTATTCACCTGGCACTGGTGACCAGATCACGAAAGACCTTCCATTCTTTGCGCTCCCACGACTTGTTTTTATTCTTGTCCAGAAAGACAAAGCTCAGCGTGGCAATGCGCTCATCCTCCGACTTCCACATGGTCGAGTTTCTATGGAACCATATGTGTATGTTAATTATGCGCTAAATATTGATCTATATATTATATGTGACGCTTACCCAGTATTACTGCTGGGTAGTATCTGTGTGTTGAGAAACTCCTTAAGCTCCTTGAGGAATTGCGTTTTACGGGGCTCTGTGCAGCCTTTCATGGGTCGCACGGCGGCGACCTCATCGCATTGGGGTCGCTTTTGGCCAAAGGTGCCCGGTATATTCTTGCCCGTTTCCTCGTTGACACACCAGCAAATGGAGCTATAGCACTGCACGCGCTTGTATCGGCCATCGGCCATGCACTCGGGCACAAAGAAGGATCTGTTGCCGCCATGCTGAAAACGAGATGCGATAAATCGAAACGATGCACCGATGTGGGGGCTGGGATCGAGCCATTCTCACTTACGCGCTGCTCCTCGCGAGCCACTTCCCGATCCGTCCAGCAGTTGGCGTCGCCTTCGCTCTCGTTATTAGTCGCCTCCGCTGTCTTGGCATTCAGAACTGTGAACGAAAGGCCCATTAGAATAGACTCGATACTGCCCTTTGGAAGCATGCCAAGTGCTATTGGATGTTACTTGGGTATTACTCAAAATTAATGGTTAGTTTATTGCCCAACAAGTACGTACAATTAAATGTCGATGGCGACAACGGGGATGTGCGTGGATGTGTCATGCTCACGTCTTCATCCTCGCCAATATAATCATCTTCGTGCTCCTCGCTCCCGTTGCCAAGCTCATGGATGCGAGAGTTGATGCCGCTACCCGTGCTGCTAGTGCCGATGATATTCGTATTGGTATGGTCATGGTGGGGATTTGTATGGTCTATGTTATGCAGATTTGGGTAGTGCGTGCGGCGTGGAATTGTGGGCGATGTGATGGAGCTGATCGTTGAACCGCTGTTCACGATGTTAACTGCCGTTTTACCTGCATTGGGGAATTTGGTAGATGGATACAAAAACGAAAACAACACACAAACATTCAGTTAAGCTTAATGTTTTAGCTGTTTACACATGCAAAATCCCAACCTCATTTCATGCATTGCTGTCTACCGCCTCTCTATGTGATTCTCACTCCCTCATTATACATGCAGTTATATATATTTACTGTACTATATTAAGAGAGCTACTTACGCTGACTGGTATCTTTGGACAGGCAGTTGCTCCATTCCAGACGGGACAGGCTATCGTCTCGGTTGACATCACAGTACTTGCCAAAGGCACGTCCACAACGTCTGGGCTTTACCGCCTGTGGGTGTGTGTGTGCATACAAAATACGGTTGAAGAGTATTGTGTGATCTGAGTGACGTGTACACGGCATGTGCGACAGCGTCGGGGACAGCGACTCACCCGCTTGACAAGCTTCTTGAGCTCACGCACTTCTTGTCTGTCCAGCAACTGATTGGCATTCGCATCCAACTGGGCAAACTTCCAGTCGAGCACAGCGGCATCGCTAACAGCAGCCGTTTGGGTTTGTCCGGAGCGCACGTGCTCGCTGCGAAACACCTTGATCAGATGATTGTTAAACGCCAAACGATCCGCCTTGCTGCACGGACGATGTCCCGATCCGGCGACCTCGCTGCTATTGGCCACATCCGCATCCAGGCTGAGCTGGCGCTGCGGCGACCGACGGCGATTGTTGCGCCTGTAGGCGCCGCACTTGGGCCTGCTGCGACGCGTGGTGGTATTCCGGATGGGTTTGCCGCTGCTGTCGCTGCACCAGCAGCCGGAACCGACCAGGCACTGTACGGCCGCATAGTTGCCGTCGCTGCGGCAGCGCGGAAAGAAGATTTTCGGATTGCGTGCACGCTCCCTAGCGTACTTCAGCGCGACCAGGCAGCCTAGGCGAGAAGCATATGGATAAGCTAGAGAGCCAGCTGGAAAGTTAAATTTGTGTGTGTTTTACCCTTGCAATTGCCGCGATGCTTGAGGCTGACCTGGTGGCCGCTGCACTGCACCCGCAGCAGGTGACAGCGCGTGGGATAAGTCTGATCGTCTGTGCCGCAAACTGGTCCCTCGCTCTCGTCGCACTCGCCCTGCTTGGCGGCGCACTCGGACAGCGACTGCGACAGCTGGAACACGAAGGTGTGAAGTGGGCACATGAGAAATATTCGCTGTATTCGCTTACAGGCCAAAAGCGTAAATAATATCAAGCACGCGTTAAATGATTTATTACATTTATGGTCGCCAAATTCAAGTCGCAGTCGTCGTCGTCAATGCTCGACTTGAATACGAATCAGCCATGGCTCAGCAGTTGCCATCGGAGTGGCACATAGGTGCGGAGGGTTGATGAGGGGAGGGGAGGGTACTGAAACACGAACGTGGCCAATATGAAAATCAAAGTGGTCAGGCCATAAGTTGCATTGGCATCGCTCGTAGCCGGGTCTCTGCTACCATTTGAATGTCTGCCAGTTCCCAGACCGAAAAACTGACCAAAAATTATGGTCAATTGGCCAGACCAACTGGCTGCCACTTTACAGGCCGCTGCCGACTACGCGCATTCTTGTTTCAGTCCAAAAAAAAAAAAAAACTAAATACACTTTGGCTATACACATTATTTTTTCAATTGCGTAGCACTTAAGTTTTGCAGCATTGCAGCAGCTTTTGTCGCCAATTTGCTGCTCTTTAGATAAACTACAACAATTTCTTGACATTAATTAGCTTAGAGCTGTTGCGATTATTCGAAGAAAAAAAAAACACGAAGAAATATGAGAAATAAAGTTGTACAGCTTGAAAATTATACGTACACCCATCGAAATACATGACTGTAAATTATTATGTGGCATCTACATGTTCATATTTTTGCATTTTTATGTGCACATAAAATGTGTCATCAGACAAACTTGATATGATCTGATAGAGTTCTAGTTTAAAGATGTGATACGTTTTATTCAACTTTCGAGAACTGGCTTATAGTTGAATACGTGACTTTTATTGCTGTTCCATTCCACGTTCCTAACCTCAGAAATGTAATTAGCGCTGAGCGAACATATTATTTAGCTATGCTTCATAATAGCTTATTACAGAGCCAATCAGAGTTTAGTTTAAATGCTCGATTTCAGGATTATAAGCTCAAAGTTTATCATGAAGCTTACAGCAGATCTTAGATGTTCCATTCCACGTTCCTAACCAAAAAATATGTAAGCTACACAGACTTAATAACTCAGAATTATTTATGCCTAATATATTTCAAAAGGCAGCTCATTTAAAATGTTCCATTCCACGATGTTCCATGCCGCGTTCCTAACCTCATAAATATAATGAGAGCTGGCTTAATTAAACAGAATTACTTGTGCCCCATTCCAACTTCTAATATTGTTCGATTCCCTTCAATCTGACTTTACATGTTTCATGCCGCGTTCCTAACCCCAATTGGGCTGCTCTCTAGCTTCATTAGCCCAATTCTAGCACTGAACTCTACAACAATAGAGCACACACAGTGCCACATTTGAAAGAAAATCAAAACCAGTAGCCCAATAAGAAATGTTATACAATTCTAGCAACAAATACGCTTAATGTTGCCGTCTTATCAGGCATGTGTATACAAAGCAAAGACACACAGATGTACACAATATACATAGGTAGGTAGGGTAGCCGGGCAGCCGGGTAATCGGGTAGCCATTTTGTATGGCCCCGGGAGCTGTTCAATTTTTGGAGCACGCGCTGAGCGGTAATCGGATCGGGCGAGAACAGGTGACTCGTCGCTTTGTGGGCTGCTTGTTGACAGACACATTAGACACATGGATAAACATGCAGTCAATATATATATATATATATATATATGGTTAGATATACTATGTGCAGATTTTGCTGCCTCAGCAGCTGAATTATGATTGCCATGGTAAGGCGAGATTCCGGCGAATGATACCTGACCATGTGTAGGGCATCTGTGAGGCACACAAAATTGGCTCGAAGCGGCGCCAATGGCTTGGCCAATTCTAATTGGTAATGCAAATGGCATTTTCTTGACGAAATAGGGCGTTATCCCGCAACGTGCCAGCCATAATATCATATGATGCTATAGACATTTGAATTGTAGATATACATATATATATATATATATCTATATATTGCTGTGAAGGGGCCCCATAAATCTGTATGGCGACAGCTCAAGGATTGTAGCGTTCGATAACGACAAAATTATTGACTGACAGTTCTCACGCTCATAGGATTAGGGGCTTGTAAGGCGGGGAGGAGGAGCGAGCGGGTGTGTAGGGGAAGCCAGAGGCACACTTGAAATGCTGCTTAACACTTTGTCATCATCAGGCAGCTTAGTGGCCATGGCAATGGCAATGGAACTGGGCACTGGTCACTGGTGAAACTCCCTCTCACTCTCCCTCTCTCCCTCTTTCGGTCTCTCTCTGTCGCTCTGTTGGCCAGAGCCTACCTGGCCGAAACGCTTTTGACTTGTGACCATTTTTTATATTTTACATCTCAGCACTTTTTGCGCCGATTCTGCGCGTTCTTCAAAAAAGAGGAAGAACAAACAGAAAAGAACAAAAAATAAAAAACAAAAAAAAAAAACACGTTCGTCGGGCAGATGAAACAAAAACAAAGAAGATCGGGCTTGAAGTTGGGCAAAGGCTATATGACCAACATTTGCCGGCAATGCGAAAATCGCAGACAGCGCGGCGGCAACGAATAAAAGCCACAACCTGGAGGGGGCAACTGGGTGGGGGACGGGGGGAGGGGGGCGGGGGTTTGGTGCAATCGGGTAAGCTAAAAGTCAAAGTCCGAGTTGGAGTTGGAGTCAGACGAGGTGCTGGGCACGCAGACAATTTGTAGCAATCAGGCCAAGCAATGGGACTGACTGACCAAGCATACATACTCTGTATACATACATATATATACAATATACCATATAATTCTTTTTGTACGCTTTGCTTAATACCTGGAATATTCAAGTGTTTTCTTGGGATTGAGCCTACAACTTACCGGCAGTTCATGTCGCGGCTGCTCCGGCTGCTCCAAGCTGCTCCCGCGGCTGCCCGTGGCCAGTTGCAGCAGCAGCAAGCCGAGTGCAATGGGTAAACATTTCACAAACATTTTAAAGATTGTCAATCAAATTGTTAAGTAAAAGCGTATTATTGCATTATATATGTGTAGATTATGATTATATATATGTTTATGCGCTATATATAAAAGTTCTTGTTTTTTTTTGCAATTCCAAATTCGTGGGTGGGTGTGGCAGAATAATTTGTAGTCTCTGCTTTATTTGTTTATCGATATTCGCGTCTATTTTTAGTAAATCTTGGCCAGTTCGGTTTATAGAGATGGATATGTATGCTCTATATACGCATTCGTTTCTGAGTATTATGGATTTCTGCTTTATGTGAACTTATGATTTGTTTGGTTTTTGTTTGTTTGTTTGTTTGTTTGTTTGTTTGTTTGTTTGTTTGTTTGTTTGTTTGTTTTTTTCGCAAAAATTATACACACTCTTGATGAAAAGCCAACACACGAGCGACTAAAAATGTGAAAAACTGAAAAACCAAACCGTGCGTCGCCAAGTTTCAAATACGACTGAGACGTTCAACAGTTCAATAGGAGTAGTCGGGAATATATATGTATATATATATAGAGAGAGTGTGGCCTAAACTGGCAACGGCGAGAGAGTGCGTGCGAAAGAGATGGCTGCGAGCGCGCGCATGCCGAAAGGGACAGCCAAACAGCAGCGCGAGCGGCACGAGAGCGAGAAGGAGCACAAGGTGGTCGATCGTGGTGCACACACACACAAACACACACACACACACGCAGAGCTGGTCAGTGCATTGGGCATCGACCATGTCGCTGTCGATGTCGATGTCGCCACAATGTCTGGCAGTGTCTACTGCCATATCTTATCTTTATTCTTTGCCTGCATATTACCACGATGCGGCTGGCCTGGACAGCGCGGTTAGCATAAAGGCCCGACACACACACACACACACACACACACACAAAAACCCCTTGCGTGTGTGTGTATAAGAGTTTTGAGTGTGAAATTTATGTTCCTTTGTATATCTGAAGAGGTTGCCTCACCAACACCAACAGCTAAAACAAAACAAGCCACTGCCAGTTGGTGGGATCAGCGACGGGCGATCTCTGGGCCCCGACCAGCTGTGGCTCTGCAGGCAGAAGGCAAAAAGTATACTTAAAAAAAAAAAAAAAAACGAGCAGGAGAAAAGGAAAAACGTGAGCTATGTACTTGCGCCCGACTGGAATTGGGAACTGAGAACTGGGCCTGAGACACAGCTCCTGCCTCTCGCCAGGCAGTCGCACGTCTGTGATTTATAGAGCTGCTGTCCCGAGTGCCCGGGGCCCATGTGAAACACCGGCATCGGTGTGAAACCTGCCAGACAGTGTGACGACGGCAAACCGACGACGATAGCGTACCCCCAAGCCCTTGCCCCTGATCGTGTACATGTGTGTGTGTGTGTGTGTGTGCGTGGCTCTGCCCCCGACTGGCACCCGCCTGGCCCCTGTTTGCCCTTTGCCCATTGTTTTCGGTCGCCTGCTCGCAGCGTACTTTTGTGGTCTTCTTTTATGGCCGAACATGGCATGGTTATCAGGGGGAGCACGAACGTTGGCTCAGACAGCGACTGCGACTGGCAGACAGTATGACGCCAAATTCAATACAACATCGTCGATAACAAAGGTAAACAGCCCATTCAAAAGGGGTTCCAGGCAGGGGCTCAAACAACAGGCAACCACTCGACTGGTGTCAATAATAATAATAGCCGCAGTCCACTCGGCCAACGATGAAGACGCATTTGGTAGCCCCGATGTAGCTGATGCGCAGAACGCAGAACGAAAAAAAAACCCAAACCGAAACAGATACAGGTACAATACGAATAGTTACAGATACAAAGATACAAATACACAGACGCAGACATTACGCCCGCTTGTGTACTTAACTAATCATTTTATGTTGCTTCTCTGTTTGTTTTTTGTGAAGATACAATTCGGCTGAATTTATTTGTTGTAGCTACGCATTTGTATCTGTATCTGTATCTGTAGCTGTGGCTGTAGCTGTATCTGTATCTGCATCGCTTCAATAGAATCGAATCTGCGCACTTGCAAAACAATTAAAACATTTACGAGGAAATCGAGGCATTTGTTTGGCTATGGCCAAAATTTTGAAGCGAACAACTTGAACGCTAATCAAAACAAACTATGGCCAAATTAATTAGGCCAATTCTTGAAAATAATAATAATTCTTAAGAGATTTTATGCTTATGCAGAAGTCGTTAAAGTGGAATGTACTACAGTTGAAACATTTGCTTATGTTGATAAAAAAGACACAATCTGATTAAAGGGTTTGCTCAGATTATATTCTATATAGTCTATATACTATATGCATTTGCTATTTTTTATAAGACATGGCTAACCGATTTGCCTCAAGATCAGATGTCCAGTTTATATTTTATGTGGTCTATATATAAATTTGGTTATCAGCGCGAAATACTTCCCCCCAGGGGAACTCCCTTAGCTTGTTGCTGCTGAGACTTTGATGTTAAACCTTGATAGAGCCAAGCTTGTGGCGTATAAAAGCCAGCTGTAGCTTCCGAGCACATCATTCAGAGCAGTGACAGCAAATTCTCAAGCAAGATGAAATTTACCATATTCCTAGGCGTTCTGGCTGTCCTCGTGTGCTTGGCTCAGTCACAACCTATCGCCCAGGATTCACTCGCTGAGCGGGAGCCCTCGGCAGTTGAGCCCGTGCCACAGGACTTCCACAGCCGTCAGAAGCGTGCCACATGCGATCTGCTGAGCGGCTTCAATGTGAATCACTCGGCCTGTGCAGCTCACTGTATTGGCCTGGGCAGGAGTGGAGGCTATTGCAATGATAAGGCTGTTTGCGTTTGTCGACGTTGAAATATTTATATTGACAGATTCAATAAAATTGCAATTAAATTTAATTAAAGGCGAGTTTTGATAAGAGTAACACCTAGTGGGTTTCATTGGAAGACCTTTGTCTTAACCCAAGCTAAGATATGTATTTCTGCTCCTGTCAGGTTGCTTGCACAGCTTGCAAACTTCAAGAGACGTGCCTGGAAATAATCATGGCTGCGCTTTCTGATCTACAGCAAATGATTCACACAGCCAATGTAGTTAAAATAAACCTTTATTGACTCTGTGCATATTTGAGCAACCATAAAAGTATTAATATATATATATAAATATATATTCAACTGGAGACTCAGGTGAGTCCACCCATAAGAATAAATTAAAAAAAATCACCTATTGAAAGTCCCCTAACTTATCTGAATGACATAGTTTACGTTTCGGGTATAAAAACTCTTGTTACATTGTCGATCAACACATTACAAAGTGCTTAACCCAGCAGCTGCATAGAAGTCCTAACCAACTAAAGGAAACCTCATCCAAAGGCAACAACAATGAAGTTAACCATGATCCTAAGTGTGCTAGCTATGCTGGCAGCCTTGGCCCTGGCGCAGCCTGTGACCCCAGAGCCAACAGAGCTCAAGGATCTAGAGCCGACCGACGGACAGGCTGCGCAGGAAGTGGATCAAGCAGAGATCGACTCCGAAGGGCCATCAGACGTAGAGGCAGCTGTTGCCCAACTTTTACGCCAGGAGGCAGCGCAGGATGTGCCGGCGACCGAGTCACACAGTCGCCAGAAACGCGCCGTCTGTCGTTGCTACAGACGTGCTCGCAATGCTATCGTATGCTATTGCCGCTAGAGGGCGTCTTTATAGTAAACCAATTACTCACAATGTTTAATGAAAACAAATAAATATTTGTACATATAGCCATGAATCATACAAGTTGTCCGTATAAACTTCGTATTGCTATATCAATTACAGAGTATGCACAACAAGATGTTTTTACTACCACTAAAATGGCACCATTTCCCACCTGACGCGATTTTTAAAAGTAAATCATGCAATTGTTTTCTGTGTTGCCATATGGTAGCGACTGGGCAATAATTAACGTTACTCGCCCATAGAGGGCGCCAGCACGCGTTTTGTTTCAATTAATTATAGTTTCACGAATATATAGTTTAAAGTTCAAAACAGCTGCAGACAACGCAACTTTGACGTAGAAACGTGAAATGTCTGCGATTTGTTTACTTTTATACTTTGCACGCTAATTAAATGTTTATATGAATTTATAAGAAATTAATGAGCAGGCTTATCGCATTTGCCAACTAACTGTTGTGGGTCAGAGCAGCATGTCAGATGTCAACCGGCGTCTGTAGAGATCAGGAAGGGGGAGCGAAATGCTAGCAAAAGTTGATTTCATTCTTAAAAATTGTGAAATTTCGCCAAATGCATATTTACTAATCACACATTAAATATAGCTAAGCAAATACAAAACAAATACAAACGCGCTCAACTTGTGTAGATCTACCAATGAAATGCGCGCACAATGCTTATTCTTATCAATTAAATGAATAAACACAATACAGGAGGGAAGAGTGTGAAGTCGGCGATGCTCATTGCACAGTCTGCAATACAAACAGCAGAGCATGAAGCAGACACACGCTCAATTAACGCCAATTATACGTGATCTCGAAACGAAATTGTTAATAAAAATTATTGGAATACGGAATTGCGAGTGGGCTTTAATTTACAAATGCGTTAAATGTTCTGTTACAGCAACATACGAAACCGGCGGCAGCAACAGCAACAATTACTGATTTCTTTTACTTTATATTTCTATTGCAATTGTAGCCGCACAAATAGTATTTGCCTCGATAGCGTCTCGAAGAACCGCTCGCGACAGTTTCTTCATTTGCACTGACACTTTGGTTATCAGTATTGCGCATTTCAAACATATGCCAGTTATCTTTAATCTGAAGACACAAACGTGAGAGAACCTCGAGAGACGGATTACTTAAGAGAATGAAACTGTGCCAGCAATTAAATCGACAAACATGCCGCCAACAATTTAAATATCGATTAAATCGATTTAAAAGATTACATAAATTATTGATAATGTTAAGAGCATCTGAGCGCTTGCTCTGCTATACTGCAGAGGGAGAGAGAGAGAGAGAGGAAGCTGCTTGGCAGCTGGTAAATTAAAATTGAAGCCTTATATGAATATTTTATGTCATACTCAGCATTGACTGATTGCACATTTTGCTGTAAACTTATAATGCTTAAGTTTCATAAGTTACTACAATTTTTGTTTAGTGCAAATTTGAAAAAACTGTTACCGAGTTTACAGTCCGGCTAAAAAATGCTCGCTGTTAATAACAGCTGAGCAAAATGTTAAGTTCTGTTGTTTAACATAAAACGCAACTGGTAAACTTCTGTTTTGTTGTTAATTGGAGAAGAGAGGCAATAAACACCTATATTCTTATCTCCTAAGTTCATGTGGCCAGCAAAACATTTGAGTACTAACTAAAAGCAGTTTGTTAGATTGACGTCGCCTTAACTGTCGCTACAATTAGTCCCAGTGTTTCAATTATCATACGGGCTAAGCACATTTCAAATTGCTTGCGTTGTTGTGCTGACGTGGTGTAAATAGTTGGTCCCGGTGAATTTGATTAAACTAAATTAAATAATTGTTAAATATTTTTAAATTATGTCCGCAATGAACGTGTTCTTATGCTGCCTCATGCTGCTGGCCATCGCTCAAGTGCGAGGCTACAGTTTCACATCAAAAGAAGTCAAATGTCATGGTAAGAAAAAAGCGGACAACCTGTTGGCATCTAAAACGGAACATACCTTTATTTCAGTGTGCAAGGCCACGGTGCAGGAGCTGGAGGACGCCATCGCCAAGGAGGATGCCAACAAGAAGGTTGATGTTAGCGGCTTCCGGCTGGATGCCCAAGGCAATTCCATTAGCAAGCGCGTGCGCTATATTAAATCCGAGATGTTTTTGACCGAGCTCATGGAAAAGATCTGTGAGTGAACGACACAGCCATAGGCATCCAATGTTGTACCAAATTAACCCCCTGAATTTGCAGGTGAAAAAATGGATGACTATCTGAAGGCCACATACAAGAGCAACGGCAAGTTTACCTTGCTCAAGATGATAATCGATGGCAAAATGAATCCCGAGTCGTCGCTCGTTGATTTCGTACAGGATGGCGACCTCAACAAGAGCCTGGGTCACTTCTGTCTGGAGGTGCTCGAAGACAACGAGGAGGCATTCCTGAAAGCATTCCAAGCCGAAGACCTGGGCAACGATTTGGATATCAAAATCTGTTCAGAGCAGGCCAACTATTGCGATGAGGCGCCCGTCCAGGAGGACTACGATTTTGGCGGCAGGGAAGAATTGTAATTCCTAGTCAAATGAGATGTAAGCAAACGAATTTCCATGATCATCATTGTTATTAAAGCGCCTGCAACAGGCCGCTCCTTTTGTACTGAACGAAAATTTTAATTTTAAACGCACCAGCGACAAACAGTTTAAAACGACAATAAATACGAGATGTGCAATTCCCTCCACATGAAAACTAATGCTTTTTATTATGATACGATGCAGGTCGAATGAGTTAACTCCTTTATTAAACTATAAATGCTAGCGGAATTTAAGTAGTAACTGCAGAGACGTCATGTGCATGTTTTACTCCTCTTCAGGGCTGTAGAAATGCATTAGTCTTTTATTGTTTATCCAGCAGGATATGCAAGTTAACGCTTACGGTTGATCATCCGTGACATTGCGTAGCATTTGATGACGCACAACCAGCCATGGAGCACCGAACCCAAGAGTTCCAAGCACAAGCCAGAAGACAGTAAAACGCATGGGGCTATCCAATCCCTTGCGAAAGGGCAAGTTCTGTGGCGGCGGCGGCGTATTTTGAATAGTTGTAGAGGTTTAATGATTTAACATCTTCAAGCACTTACCAAGCCCGGAATACCACCGGGATGACCGGACATTTGACGAATAAGCGGCACACACATTTTGCGCACCTCGGCGCGTAAAGCAAACATATTTCAATAAACTTTAACCGTTTTCCACGTTCTTGAATGATTTTTAAAAATATTATAATTTGCGTACCGATCGACACGGAATCTAAATAGTGTCTGAGAATTTTTGTATGCTTACAATGTCGACAGGTTTCTAGAGTTATCAATGCCTACTTAAACCTAAGGGAAACTGCGCACTTTCGGTCTTTAGTTTTTGGGCAACTTTATTACGTTTAAACTTTTGACTTAATTTAAAGCTGTAGCACAATGTACGATACTGCGGCTACAACAAACAACAACGTAATCTGCAAGTGATCATCAATACTGAAATATGCGATCAATAATTGGGCGATAAAACTAACCTTACATTTTTAGCATGTTGTTGTTGTTGCTGCCGTGGCTTTTGGGGGGCTGCTGTGGCCACTTACTTCTTCAACAGCTGGTGCCTGACGATCAGGAAGGGGGAGCCGAAGCCCAGAACACAGCCGATGGTGAACAGCGCGGTGATTCTATATTTGTTATGCAGTCCGAAGGGCAGGTTCTATAATTTAAAAAGTTGTTAGGCGGTGATATCATCGATTTTCCTTCAGGATTACGTTTCAGGTGCAAGCACACACAAATTATGTAACCACACACTGCGACTTTATCGATCGCTGCTTACCTCACCGGGAACACCACCATGGCCGCTGTAGCGCACCATCGACTGGGAGAAATTGCGTGCAATTACACTGCTGCGGCCCAACATATTTATTGATTTTTTTAAACTTTTATTTTTAGGTAAATTGCAAGCGCAGAGTTTGTTGGTTGCCAGAGGAAAAAGTGTGTACACAACTAAAAATGTAGCAGCGATAATTGAGCAGATGTAGCTATCGATATATCGCAAGCCACAAACTGCCGCGCTGCATGCGATACACTATCGATAAGAAAATAGCAGCACAGCTGAGCCAGCCAAATTCATATCGTAAGCGCCAAAATTTGAATTTGGTTTGGAATATCAATGTTTTATTTGCTGCATTTTGAAAACTTATTGCTAAACATTTACAAATAGATTTTGACAGCTAATCAGCACCAACTAAAATAAAAAAGACTTAAAGACATAACAAAACGTAACAAATACGGCATAACGAACGGCTGGGGAGCAGTTTTGGTCTTAAGCACTTAACTAAACTTAAAGGGGAACGATGTTTAGCTGGCAAAGAAACATCTGTAGAGCATATATAGAATGCCAAAGAGCCACATGCCCTTGTACAGCTTGTCCACGAACCACATACTGCAATTTGAAAATATTATATCACTATGCATAATTAAAAAATTCAATTGTTTACATTTTCATGTGTCGCCTGGCCGCCGGAATAGACTCATCCGATTCCTTGAGGATCAGACGACGCGCGCACAACACACAGTTGGTGAAATAATCTATCAGATCCAGATCAATTTTCTCAATAACATATGTTTTTCGTTCCTTGTTATTCATTAGCTTGCGTAATTTAACCGCTTCTGAATTATCAAAACTCCACACATTATTGGCATAGTACTCAAACACTTCGAAGCCCTTGTAGATGCGATTCTGGACACGACAGAGTCTGTGGATTCGATTAAAAATAAATATAATGCGGCTTCACAAAATAATTTTGTGCACTTACACAGGCGGATAGCGTAAAAGCAATAGCAATGCGTCCACAAACAAGGCCGGCATCCATTGGAAGAGTACCATGCAGACGTAGTGCACCCAATAGTTGGATTTCATGGAGCCACCCGGATACCAGGCCACACCATTTAAGGGCACCTTATTCTCAATAACCCAACGACCGAGCTCGATAATCTCTGCCCAGGAAACCTTAATGTCATTGGAAGAGGTCATGTGCGCGACACGATTCGTGTGATCCGTGCCAGCTGTAATATTACGCCAACTGGCCACCAAAATGCCATTGACGGCCACGTCCACGGGCAAAAAGTCACCGTAACCGGACGAATTGCAGTACATGGTGCGTATGACACCCTTGCCGGCGCCAATCAGCAGACCCGTGGGTCCATTAATATTGTCCGTCCAGCCGGGTATGGGTTCCTTCCAAATGGGTATGACAATAGATGGACGCAAGATGACGGCCGGCAACTCGTTAAATTTCTCCACGACCAGCGCTTCAGCCAGGGACTTGGTATAGGCATAGGTGTTCGGTATATCGCCCAGAATCTTGCGCTCAATGAGGGACACCTCCTCATCGGACAGCCATTCGCAGGCCTGAATCACCTGGTGAGGATTTGCGGGCGGATCGTACGGCTTTTCGTACAGCGTCTTCACATGCAAATGACAATAGGCCGTCGAGCAGTAGGCAAAGAAGTCCAAATGCTTGAGCGTGCCGGCCAGCTCCAGCATATACTTGGTGCCGCGTGTATTCATGAACACGGCATTGCGCAGCGGCTCATCAAAGCTAGAGGGGAAGGGAGGGAAGCATAGAATCGACATCGTATTTGACTGAGATTCGCTGCCACTCACCGAACTGTGGCGGCACAGTGATACACAATGGACACCTCATTGCGCAGCGTCTCCAAATCCTGCTCGGAGATGCCCAGGCCAGGCAGCATCACATCTCCGGCTATGGCCACCACCTGGTCGAATATGCGCTGCTCGCCGCGCAGCTGTTTCACCTGGTCGAACAACTGGTAGGGTAGGGGAAGGGGGAGCGCGGTTTATTGTGTTGGTTAGTTACCCGGACAATTATTAATAATTACCACATTCTGAAATATATCCTTAATGCGCTCCTGCGGATCCTTGCCCTTCTTGGTGCGTATCAGCAGATAAATGCGCTTCAGTTCGCCACACGAGCTGCAAAAATTAATAACGCTTTATCTCAGTGAACATAATTGAGAATTATTGAGGTCACGTGTGCCGGCAGCAGCAGCTGTTGGCCAACGCGGCCAACGCAGTCAAGCAGCTCAGCCCAGCTCACCTGGCCCGCCCACTTTAAGCTGAATGAATATATATTAAGAATATGATGTAGTATATGATGCAATGCATTGGTAAGTTGATATACTAAGCTTCATTAGAGTCCAAGCCAAGTCAAAGCTTCAAGTTCTACTTATTCGGAGTATGTAAATTGTATACCCTTACAGAGGGTACTCGTATTATTGTTATGCCATGTGTTACGCATAAATATAATTTTATAATTTATTTAATTGTGGCATCGCAGAAACAAAGTACTTAGCATAATGTCTTAATAACCCGAACTATGTTAGACCTTCGACCCGAGCTAATTATGTGATTAAATTTTGAACTTAAAGCTTTAGACAAACTAATGGAGTTATTTAATATTATGTGTGGAGCAGAGGAGAAAGGTTTCTGTTTATAATAAATATTTTATTACTACTATTATAATTATATTTACTATTATTTTAGTTTTTAAGTCTATTCTGACAAAACTTGCCGCAGATTATTCATTTTCTGTTCTTTCAACTTTATGAAAACATTTTTTCTATATATCCCAAGCTAAATATGAGGTTTACTAACTGCTCTACGTGATAATAGAAACCCTTAACTATTAAAGTTTTTTTGTTGCGATATTTGCCCTTAAGGGTATTAAAACGTCGGCAACGCGAAGAAATGCGTTCTTTTTTTACTATTACCAGTTATACTTTTATAAGATCATAAGCGCTTGTTAGACTTTGCTTTAAGCAAGGTGCTAGCAAGCAAGGCACAAGATAAACTCAAAGCTGAGGTCAAACTAAAATCTGTTTAGTATACTATAACAAGTATAACAAGTACGCCCCTTGGATATATTCAACCCATAATTAGTACTCACCGCAACAGTTTCTCCACCAGCACCTTGCCAAGGAAGCCCGTGCCGCCCGTGATGAACAGGCTGCGATCCTTGAAGCTTTCGGCGACGCGATCTATTTCGTTCTCATCCACATGGCCAATGGTCAGGTGGCCCTCCTTCTCGAAATCAAATTTCGGCTTGGATGTCATCGTTAGTTAGACGCGTTGCCTGCAACATTTGAGAGAATTATAAATAAGTGCCCTCGTCGTTGGCTTATATGTTGCTAATCAAGTGCACTATAATTTTATTTGATCTTGGCTGTGTGTTCAACTTGTTTTACGGCTCGAACAGTTGGATACGACAGCTAGTTGACAAGTGGCTGGCCAATTCGTCGCTTCGCCTCATGACCACCAGCGAGCCGCCAAGCCATCGAATCGGCCAAACATGGCCCAGCCGCATATTTGACACCCAGCCGCATATTGCGTATACGCCGCGTGGCACATATGGGCCAATTAAGCTAGCGATTGCAACAGCCAAGCAACTTGGCTGGCTGCTTTTGGCCAGCATGTGTGCCATGATAGTGAGCTTGTGAGTGCAGTCTGGCGATTCCGGCCAAATTGGCCAGCCACGTGTCCTTCAAAATTGTTAATGGAACCTGTTGGTTAAAGCCGAATGCCAGAGTCCATAATGCAAAATGCAATTAAAAAATGGATAATTGAAACGAGTGAACTTTGCATAAGCCACAGATTGAAGTCTTATAATAAATCCAAATACAACAAATTAAAAAAAAATTTGTATTTCCATTTAACGATCGCTTTAGGTTTTGATGAGATTTCGAAAGCGTTTTGTCTTGTGTGCAAATTGAAAAACAAAAAAAAAAGTGTTAATTGCTTTAGCATTGGCCAACAAGAATGGCAAGGCGCAGGCCAAGTTCACATTAATTAGCCATGTTTCGCTTTGCAGTTCCGTTTGTCATTAGAATTCAGCGCCAGCCAATATATCACATTGCGTATCGGGCGCACAGAAACCAAAGACTCAGGCAACGAACGCGATGATGAAAGTGAAACTCGCGGCCTACTACAGTTACCAGCTGTTGGCCCAGATGTTACGAATCTTTGACCTGGTTTTCGCCAACCGTTGACCTGTCTGCCGATAAAACAAAACAAACACAATATTAAGCTCACTTTTCAAGCTGTTGCAATTAAATGCAGCACTTTAAGTGGAAAATTCCCATTGGAAATATAAACGTGGTAACAATATTGTTACATTACATTTTGCCATTTAATAGCAACAACAACAACAACAACGACAATATCTCTGCGATGCGATTTATGCAAACGTTTTGCCCGTCATTCGGTTACTGCCGGGTCAGTCGATGCCGTGAGGTTCACAGTGTTCAGAAACGTTTCGTTGACGTCTATCGAGAAATGTGGGGACTTACATACTGCACACACGTATCTCTACCTTTATTTAAGAGCGTGTGTTAACTGTCATTCCAAAGCGATTTCCACTGCAATTACTGCGGCTGCTGTTGTTGTTGTTGTTGTTGTTTTGATTGCCGTTGAGAGCCTGCTTGTGTTTTAGATGTGCATGCGCACGTTTTCCAGATAAAAAATGGGCAAAAGACAAACGCTTACAGTAGTTTTCTTTTTTTTTTGTATACTCTTCACACAGCAAATTGACAAATTTGCAATGCTTTAAATTGAATTAAACGCGCAACAGTGGAATATTTCAATAATCTGCTCGAAAACAATGAAAATGCAGTGGAAAACTTGAGCAGCTGTTGCTTTATATAAAACGCATTTACGAGAGAGCTAACTGAGCTACATTATAAATGAAAGGACACACTTTACCACACAGTAAAGGCCTATTAAAGTTTGTAAACTCTTTGGTAGAGTATAACAAAAGGAACTCTCGACCGCAAGCCCATCTGGCGCATATGGGACAGCGACAGCTTAAGTATAGTTTTTGGCAATTGCCGAAAATAAAAAAATACAAATAAAACTAAGTCTGACTGGTTCAATTGCATTTTTCGGGTGAGTTGAGCAACCAGTTTGGGCCAAGCCAAAGATGTCAACAAAAGAAGCAGCAATTAATTGACGAAAAAAGTCGGTAAAAGTCAAAAGTTATAAACATTTGATACTTATCGAGCATACAAACTGTGTCAAGGATAAAATCTAGTAACATTTTCACAAACAGCTAGGCAACACTTAAAGATAGGCTTAAATGCTAAAATTATTTAAATTCTATTGTTGCACTTGAAGTGCCTGTCATAAAATGTAGCACACCTTCTTTTATGGTAAATCACTGAAAGCACTTTGTATGACTTATTTTTTATTTATTAACACTTGCTGTTGTGTGTAGGGCCTGTGTTTTTAGTTAATCAGTAGTAAATCCTTTTAACAAGCGACATGCATTCGCATAGCCGTACACACGCTTTGAATGCCAAACACCAACTGAACAAACTCGGCTTCACAATTAGGAAAAAGAGCCTCGCACTCAAAATACCAGCCCAATAGAAAACCGCTAAGTGAATACTATGAAAAAAAAAACAACTCTAAAAAAAAACTAAACTAAGCATCGCTTTGTATAGTATCGGCTAGTTTAAAACACACCGACACACTGATCTCCCAAAAACTAGCTGGGCACACACTCACACTAACGAGAGACATTGAGAGAGAGAGAGAGAGAAGCAAACAGACACAAGCATACAGTTATTTGAGTATGCAAAAGCACGCAAGCAGCTGCTGCAGTCGCTGTCAACGTCGGCGCCGCCGCCGCCGCCCAGCGGCCAAGTTTGGACTCTCCCGGTCAGAGGTTCAAGCTGTTCACTATGTGACGCTTTCTCAGTTTTGTTTTTGTTTACGTTTTATAATTGACTGCGTGCGCTCTAAGTAAACGATCCAAACTGTCGTCGCTGCTGCTGCTGCTGCTGCTGCTGCTGGTGCTGTTGTTGCTGCCCGGCAAAAGCTTCTATCAATAAACAACAACAACTACCGTTATTGCTCAATGCCTGCAGTTGTTGTCGCTGCTGCTGATTTCCCATGCAGTTTAGAACATGACGCAACTGATCAGCAGCAGCAGCAGCAGCAGCCGCCATCGCACAAACATGTTCGTTTACCGTTTTGAATTTATGTTTATAGCGCGCAGACATTTTGTTATGTCTTGCAATTGTTTATGGTATAAATCTTTATAGCACACACACATACATGCATGCATGTGCACATGCATAAATTTCCAGTGTGTGCCCATTAATTAGACAGAATTGGCCATGGATAAGCTGGTCGTTACTTATTAGTTACACTTGTTGACTCGAAAACAAATAAAACTCGGCACATAAACAAAAAACTAAAAATTAAGACGAAAATTCAACAATGGCATTGATATCAAACACATTGGCTGCGCTTTCAAGCGGCCCATGACAACAAGAGCTAACTAACTAAATCGTAAAAAAGGCTAGTAAAGTTCGATTTTTTTGACCACCTAAAACCGTAAAGCCTACGGCTTTTGGCATTTGGAGCAAGCGGTTGTCAAGCGAAGCCCCATTAAGCTAATCAGGTTCGGCTGTTGCTCATTGACGGACACCAATTTTATTAGATGTATTCCATATCCATTGTTGAGCTGTGGTATATTTAAAAAATATACATTTTAAGAGTAACACTTTACTGGAAAATACTCTTATGTGAAATGAAAGTAATAAAATACTTATTGGTATTCATAATTAAACAAATACAAATAAAATTATATGATCGCAAATCAATTTTTTGAAAATAATGTTATTTAAAAAAAAAACGTATAATAAATATATTTATAACTAAGTTCTTTCTTTTGGTAATGCAGAAGAAGAGAAGAGGTATATATCGCAAAATATGTTTATATTTAATTTTCGAATCTGTCAAAAATGCTAAATAAAAGATTATCTAAATATTTATTGAGCAGTAATGGATGCTAGTTTATTTAACTGATTTTCAATTACCTAAAAGTAAAGAAATTATATATTTGAAAGGTTCAAGTCGAGCTGTCCGCTTGCAGAGTATCGAAAATTCGTTGAAGTGAACTTAAAGCACGCTTAATCTTAATTTCCGATATATATATTTCAAGTTATTTATTTCGAATGTGTTACTCACTGATGGAACAGCGCGACGGAGTCCACGCTCTCGGTCAAGAAAACGCTTTGAACTTGAGCGTTGTTAGCGTTAGGTATTTATGCAAACGGATTCAGCATCATGCATATTTATCGATGCAAATGTCTGGCTATTGATTTTCGACGATCGTTAGAAAACAAAAAAGAAATAAGAATTGAAGCGAACTGCCAGACACACAATGGTTGACACATTTGTTGCAAGTCATGGTCCACATCTTGGCCGGACGCTGGGTGTGTTCTTCAAATTCAGACACGCAAATAAAATAAGAAACGGGTTGAAAACAAAAAACTTGGCCTTTCAAAGTGTGGCCGTAATTACAGACTTCCGCTTAAGAAACCGAAAGTGTCCGCCCAGCCAAATGGCCAAGAAGTATTGGGCGAAGAGCACACGCACACAAGGGGGTGGGGCTGGGCGCAGTCGGGCAGACGCTTTGGGCTGCTGAAGGCGCCACAATGTATCCCGTTACAGGGGCCATAAAACTCCATAAGCGACTGGCGACAAGGCCAAATTATACCGCATACGCACACGTAGCCATGGTCTAAGTTGTGTTGGACCCGGCTAATTGGATGCGCACGCGGAGGTGGGGGGTGGGGGGGGGGGGGGGTGACTTGGATTCTCTATAAACTTAAAAGTGGGCGGCGCATAACAATTGTGGGCGATTTGCATACAATTTGGCGCTTGAATTACCAGCAAAGCGGCGTCAAAATGTTGCTGCGTCATCGCGGGGCCAAAAAACCAGATGATTTTGCCATGTGCTAAATATAAACACATGCATATTATATATATATAATATATATACTATATATGCACATGCATGCGGCTAATAAAGATATTGTATGGCCAGCACAATGCAGCTGTCTGCTGGCCATTGTTTGTCTGACAGTCCGTCTGACAGTTTTTGTCTGTCCATCACAAACAAACATATCACAGCCAAAATGGCAGGCCGACATTGTCAAGGCCCGCTTCTGTTCAAAGCTTGCAGTTTAACGATAAATAAATTGCACAAAGACACCAGCAAAAAAAGAACTATATATGCTACAGTTGCAAGTGCTTGACTAGCAGATACCCTGTAGCCAGCGACAAGCTGCCTGGATTTTAGTTCTTTGAGCCTGGTTTTGGCGAGAGACCTGCCCAAAGCCTTCTCCGTTTTGAGAGTCAGAAAACCCAAAAGGAAGCAAGTTCCTAGCTCACGAGCAGCAGGAGTATTCCCGGATAGACAGACATGCAGAACTACAACGACTCGGCTGTTGATGCTGATCAGGAATATCTATATATATATATATACTTAATGGGCTCGGTAGAGCCTGCGTACGCTTTGTATCCTTTTAGCCCGTTTACAATGGACTTAGGGTATAAAGAGAGAAAAGTCGCAGCAACTGTTGCCAGCTAACATGTTGCATAAACATGCCGCAGCAACACTTGTTGCTGCCTCAACAACACCCACACACACACACACACACACACACACACACACACAGCTGCACGGCAGCACGCAGAGGCTTTGGCCTGCCGCCTGCCTATTATCCTGAACAAAGGACACCGTCGGCTGTCGGCCGTCGGCCGTCGGTTGTACGTTGTCGGCCGCCGTCTAACGGTATATAAAACCGGATGTTTCGCCAAACATTTGCACAGAAGTGTTCCACATTGCCACGGTCAACAAGTGTCCTGACCAAAATCAGAAAGAAGAAGAAGCCCAGGGTAGAGGAACAAACCCACGAGTGGCCAGTGAAAAGTGTTCTTAAGTTTCCCATTCCCCAACGGAATGTCGATTTGATTGCATTGCAATTTTCGTATAATTTTAAATATTTGAAAAAGGTGAGTTTTTCAAAATTTTTAAGTCCTAAGCAAAGTGATTTAAGTGAAATAATAAAGCTTACTTGGGTGGAAGAAAGCTGAAATAGTTTGAAAAGTTTTAAGGCTTAGAAAATAAGTTTGAATATAGTTAATAGCAAGTGAGATTAGTTATTTGCGTTGTGGATTTAATGCTAAAAAAAAGTTAAAGAATTTCGCAATAATGGTTAAGTTTTTAAACCAACTTAACAGCATCGCACTTGCACAGAAAACTTGGTTTAAGCACGAACTTGGTTTGAAAACAGAAGATTATATTGTCTTAAGAATTTTGGAAATGAGCTGAAATATTTTTTCTTATAAGTGCAGCATTTGTTTGTTTAAAGCTTTCATCTTTTTTTCGAATTTTTACAAATATAGAAACTTTAATTTTCGAAATTCAAATACGAATAGCTCAGTTTAAAAATAGCTTAGCAAAGAATTAAATATAATTTAAACAGTTTTACAAAACTGTACCCAGGCAAGAGACCAAATGAGAACAGCTTGCACTTCTATTCCTTCAAGCTGTTCCCAGCTGAATTTCACACTCTAAACACTTGCTGAGCATAGAGAGCATATGTTTTCTGGAATGCTACGTTTTACAAATACTTGAAATTGTTTTTTTAAATATCAAATTTCATTTCTCTTTCAAAAATTGGCCACAGTTAAGGGCAAAGGCAACGACCCCAGCACGTGTGCATGTACTAGACAAATACAGGTGGAATGTTAGGTGGAATATAGTAGTTGGCACACGCAAACACACACACACACACACACACACGGTCATTTTGGGCTAATGAAAGCAAATTGAAATATTTACGGCTGCACTTCGGAGAGAAGCGAACGCAACAAAGCGTCGCTAGATTTCCATTTGCCAGCATTTCCGGGCAAATGTTAAAGTTGCATGCCCCTTTGGCCAGGTGGAAGCAACTGCAGGTAGCTCAAGCACTAGAACAGCGAAGCGTGTACAAATTTTTGATTTATCACTGACAAGAGACATTTCCATACGCATAGTTGTATGGCCAGGAGAGGGCTTAGATTTAACCGAGTGTGCCACATCCCGCATTCCCCGTGCCGCATGCGACAATCATTTGTCTTTGGTCGGGCGCCGAGTTGTTGAGCTGCCTGCTGATAAATTATATATGCTTTTAAATATAACACATGCACAGATTGCCACGGCCAGGCACATCAAATGTATCGCATTGCGCCATCTGCGTCAGGTATGAAAATCTGATTAAGCGTTCGCCTTCAACCAAAAGGCGTTCCCAAAATATACAAAGTGTCAGCTTTCATATTGAGAGCTAAACGAATTAACGAGCGTGTTATTGATACTGATAACGCGGCGTATGCGTAATGTGGCACCATATTAATAATATAACTAAGCGCAGAGTACAAGATATTTGGGAAAGTTGCCAAATGAATTATCGTTCGATTGACACTCAAAGAAGTGCTTGCAACATGTGGCATTAAGTGCTCAACAACATAATACGTGCGACAAACTTAACACAAATGCAAAGACACTTTGACAAATGCACAAATTTGTTGGCATGTTGCAAGCAGCACTCTTTAAGCCAAACACTGTGGCCACTGAGGCAGCATCAAGGGGCACAGTTGCACTTGCCGCAGGCCCTGCGACCTGTCCGCGCTGTGTACACATGCCATTTGTCACCTGTTGTCCCACAAAAATATATGAATTGCCTTTGATTGCGCTGGCAACAGCAACAGCAACAGCAGCAACAGCAACAGCAGCAACAACAACAATATTTTAAATAATTTTGTGTTGCTTTTTTTTTATTTGTACAAAAGTTTGTGTAATTTTACATTAATGTGGAGTACATAAAATGTATGTTAATGTGCAACAGTCGCCAGCTCATCAGCTAGGGTCAAGTTGTTGCTGCTGTTGTGGTTGCTGCTGTTGTTGTTGCTGCTGTTGTTGTTGTGCGTCTGCGTGGCTGGTCAAGTTTTTTAACAGTTTTTTATGCTGGCCGCGTCAGTTTTGAATTGAGCGATAAATTGGCCAACTTTGCGTAGATTAATGTCAAGTTTAACATGCAGCGCAGTTTCAGTTATGAACGCGTTTTGTTATCAACCATACAGGCAGACTATTTTCAGGGTTTTTCTTGGCTGGCAAGCGGAAAGAAAACGTGCTAAATGCCAACAAAAATAAAAACTGCTTAGTCATGTATTTGATATACCCTACCAGAGCGTATTTCGAGGCGCATTTCGCCTAGAAAATAGCCCCAGTGAAAACTCTCTTGGCGGTCGTGTTAAGTTTGTACGCCTCAAAGTAGGGCAATGGGCGTGGCATGCAACAAAGCAATGTTCGCCTAATAGTACAGCCTTCACATATGCATACTACATTCTTGCTGAGCTTGAAGAGTTACCTCTATATAGGGTATCTGCCGGTCTGCCTGTGTGTCTGTCCGTTCAATCTCAAGGATCTCCTAGGGACATGGCCCAAAAATCGAATTGGGACTAGCGAGAGATCCCTTGGCCAAGTGCTTCTCCCATTAATGACGAATTAGCCATAAAAGGAACGAATAGAACAGCTGTGAGCCTTTTTGCACACAAAAATTGCCGATATCTCGTCTATATCTTGGAGCATCCCTACGAGTCCTGTGGCAGACGAGGCGTAATCGCCAGCAGCCAGCAACTAGCCCAAGGACTCTGTTATCGTCTGATTAGTTTTCGAGATATTCGAGATTTTCCGATTGCTGATTGAGCTCCTGACGCACCAAATACCTTGGGCTTAACTTAACTTTTAAGAGGTTTTGCTAAACAGCTTACATTAAATGGGAAGTTCATAGAAGTGTAGCACTTAAGAGCTCTAAAACTTCGTGTATAGTTATTTACAACTGGAATTTTCATGGAAATTGCTAAATAGTTTCCATGAAAATTTGTGTCCATGATAATTTGTGTTATAAATAATTATAATTCTTCGCACTTATAAGAAGAAAAAACTTTTCTATAATTGGCATTTGCAATTTTTGCAACTTTTTAAGTAAGCCCAAAGCTTACGTTTACTTACCCACCTGATCCTGATGCAACGTGCGCTCATCTTTGTCAGCTGCCAGTTGCCAGTTGAGGCCTTCCACATCCGAAAGCCATAATCATTTGCATCTCTAATGGCCTGCTCTGACGGAGTGCGGACGTTCATATACATCAGCCCCGGCGCCCAGCCCCTGCTCCTGGCGTAGACCATCAGCTTAGCGCCTTTAACAAGTTGTATTAAGGTTGTTGATGGCCGTGTGTGTGTGAGTGTGTGTGTGTGTGACAGCGGGGGCAACTCATGTTGCTGTTGTTGCTGCAGGTGTTGTTGTTGCTGTTGTTGCTGTTGTTGTTGTTGCTGTTGCCTTTAATGCGCTTGGTTAACTTTTTACGCGCACATTCATATTTCGCTCTTGGCCAGGCGGATTATCGCATAAATATTGTTATGGTTAATTAGCGGGACACTTTGTCTGGCCGGGCAAACAAAAGGCGTTAAGACGCTGCCACCGGAGTAGCCTGCTGCTGCCTGGTTTTTGCTGCTGTTGCCAGTTAAGTAAAATGAATGCGTTCATTGCTTTGGCCACGAGGGCGTTAATGTGATTAAAACTGGTTATAGATAATGCGGCAAGTGATTTAGTCAACACCTCATAATTATGTTCCCTTCCTCCCTCTCTCTCTTTCTCTCTCTCGCCCTCTCAGCACCTTCAATCATGGGCATAGCACTGATGTTCCTGCTGGCCCTCTACCAGATGCAGTCGGCCATCCACAGCGAGATTATCGAGACGCCGTCCAGCTATAATGAGAACTCGTTGCTGGAGGCAGCTGCGGAGGAGCCCAATTCAAGAGCCGCCGCGGCTGAGTCGGATCTGTTGGATGGACTGATGAGCACCGATAATCCCAATCCAGAGCAGCAAACCGAACTGGAGTTCCGCTATCCGATCTCGGCCATTGGCATTGATTATGCCAAGAATTCGGTGGTGTTGCGTTTCCAGAAGCACGCGCGCAAACAGAACTTCAAGTACGATCCGGACTACGAGATGAAGCGCAAGTCGCTGCAGGACAATTTCATGCACTTTGGCAAGCGGCAGGCGGAGCAGCTGCCTCAGGCAACTGGACCCGGCTACTATGAGGCGGTCAAGCGCGCCGCCATGGATCGCTACGGACGCGATCCCAAGCAGGACTTCATGCGTTTCGGGCGTGCTCCGCCTTCGGACTTTATGCGCTTCGGACGTGCACCCTCGGACTTTATGCGTTTCGGACGCGATCCCAGCCAGGATTTCATGCGTTTCGGCCGATCCGATAACTTTATGCGCTTTGGCAGGAACCTGAACTTTCACGAGGAGCTGCGCAGTCCCAAACAGGATTTCATGCGTTTCGGTCGCCCGGACAATTTCATGCGCTTCGGCCGCTCCGCGCCCACAGAGTTTGAGCGTAATGGCAAAATGGACTCGAATTTCATGCGCTTTGGCAAGAGATCAGGTGTAACGGCCAAATTGACCAAATCCCAGCTGCAGCAAAACAAATTGACAACTGCCGATGGCAAGCAGCAGCCAGCCGAGGAGGGCAATCCCACGGACAAGGCCATCTCCATGCTATTCAATAAGCACCAGCAGCAGGAGCAGCAGCAGGGACTGCAGCAGCAGGAGCAGCAGCAGGGGCAGAGGCAGGGGCTGGAGCAGCGGCAGCAGGTGAAGAGCAGCGCAGAGCAGAACAACTTGGAGGAAGCCAGCGTGGAGCAGTTCTATGAGCCATAGATTCTACCGCGCACAGCACACTGTAAATATAAATTGGCAAAAAAACCGCACACTATGATAATTGTACTTAACACTATGTATGTATGTACTTAAACGCATTATAGATATTGCAGAAGAAATTTAAAAAGAAAAAAAAAAACGTTATTTGAATTTTTAATGGGGCTGGATTAAAAATTCACCACGCTTTGATCAGATCATAAGAAAAACAAACAAAAAAAAAAGTATAAAGCTCTAACCAAAGGTCATACACACACACACACACACATACACCAAAGCACATACTTAAGTGTAATATCGCATTCAAAATAAATTCAAAATATTAAATGTACTTCTTTAAATGCATTGAAATGTTGTGAACAATCTATTAAATAAAGACTACTCGCTAACTATTGTTTGCTTTGTTTCAAATTCAAATTTAAGCTGGCATTGGCATTGACCTTAACAATTCAAATTGAAGCTAAGCGATTTGTAGCTGGCGCCATCTGTTGTGCGGTGGCCAATACGGCAAGCAGTGCTGCATGCAACAATTGCTTGCATCGCGCAGCAGCTGCTCGCGATGTGGCAACGCTGCGGCAACAAGTTTCAGCTAGAGATGAGCTCGTGCCGGATTTCGGCAACACGGCGCAACATTGAAACAAAGTATACTCCTTATCAATATGCAAAATAATCAATTCTTAAAGATGTACACACACAAATTTCTCATGATTTCATTGGCTAAATCTAGATAGATATATTTACTTGATATTAAAGAAGGTGGTCAGGCATTGCCGGTAAATGTGCTGCCAGGTCGTGCGCAATCACGACACGCGCTCACCTCTAGCTTAAACAGCTGAATGTTGCGGTTGGCTTCTGTGTGCACTAGCCTCTGAACCTCGCGTTTGTCTTATTCCGTATTCAATTTGCAGAGGCCTTATTGCCACAACGAAATCTCAACTGTAAGGAACAAATCAAGATCTTTGGAACCAATATAACGTATTTATATAAACTAATTGAAAATATAGCCGCAGCAGCGCAGTCACCAAGTCTAAAGTCCAACTTGTTGCTCTGTTGGCGGCTGCGGCATTTATTGTTTTCGTTTCCTATCCACATACATAACAATATAAATAAATAAAAAATTTCCTTTATATATTATAGATTTTTCAATTGAACTTTGCTGGCCAGAAAAGCGATTATGTCGGCCCTGCTGAAAATCCACAGAGGTGAGTTTCATCCAAAAACCTGTCAACAGATTTCCAACAAGACAACAACAAACAATTCGGCGGAATTACATAATCAAAATGATTGAGATGCGAGACAAAAGACATTAATTAAATATGGGCGCAGTGATAACTTGGCACTTGGCCAATTTATATAATATTAGCTGGTCATCGAGCTGCAAACTCTTTAGACCTCTCCTGTTGTTGTTCTTGTTGTGCTCCTTATCAGAGTTCTTATCAGCTTATGCGCTTTGGCAATAACTATGCAGCTCGAGTTTGATTTTAACTGTCGCATAATTTCTTAACCACGCCCAGTTCACAAACTCTTCACGCCCGCCTTTGTGCGTAGCGTTTCGGAGGCAGCGAAATATCCAAAGATTACCACGCACTACACTCTGAATCCGCGCGAAAAGGACGAGAGATGGAAGGATGTGGACATGGAGCGTTGCGTCGAGGAGGTGGACATCGTCATCGTGGGCGGTGGACCAGCCGGCATGTCAGCTGCCATACGCGCCAAGCAGCTGGCTGCTGAAAAGAATCAGGTGAGCAAAGAATCTGTCGCTGTGCGAATCATACGATTCTTAAGTTCTTCTTCTGCTTGTTCGGCAGGAGGTACGCGTGTGCGTTGTGGAAAAAGCCGCTGAGGCGGGCGGTCACATACTTTCCGGCGCAGTCATCGATCCGATCTCATTGAATGAGCTCATACCCGACTGGCAGGAGCAGGGCGCGCCATTGAACACGCCTGTGACCAAGGACACCTTCTCTTTCCTCACTGAAACGGGTCGCTTTTCGATACCCATTTTTAAGGGCTGGCCCATGGACAATCATGGCAATTATGTTGTCCGGCTGGGTCACTTAGTCAAATGGCTGGGCGACCAGGCGGAGGCTTTGGGTGTTGAGATTTATCCCGGCTGTGCGGCCTCTGAGGTGCTGTTCCATGAGGATGGCAGCGTGAAAGGCATTGCCACGAATGATGTGGGCATTGCCAAGAGCGGAGCTCCAAAGGAAACCTTTGCACGTGGCATGGAACTGCATGCGAAGACCACAATCTTTGCCGAGGGCTGTCGTGGCCATCTATCCAAGCAGATTATGCAAAAGTTTGGCCTTAATGTCGGCAGCGAGCCGCAAACATATGGCATTGGACTGAAGGAGGTGTGGGAGATCGCTCCCGAGCTGCATCAGTGAGTCTTTAACAAATAGCACCCAACAATTGAACAATTGGTGTTAACCCAATCGTACCCTTAGACCTGGTCTGGTAGAGCACTCAATTGGCTGGCCCCTGGATCGCTTTACATATGGTGGCTCTTTCCTCTACCATCTGAACGAACCCACGCCCACCATCGCAGTTGGTTTTGTAGTTGGCTTGAATTACAAGAACCCGTGGATTAGTCCCTTCCAGGAGTTCCAGCGCTTCAAGACGCACCCCAAAGTGCGACATATATTCGAGGGCGCCACGCGCATAGGCTATGGTGCACGTGCCATTAACGAGGGCGGTTTCCAGAGTTTGCCCAAGAAGTTGTCCTTCCCAGGCGGCTGTTTGGTGGGCTGCAGTGCGGGCTTCCTTAATGTGCCACGCATCAAGGGCTCACACTATGCCATGAAGAGCGGCATGCTGGCCGCTGAGAGCGCATTGGAGGCAATTAATGAGGGCACGCAGACAACAGCTGGCGTGGAGCCCATCAGCTATGCGGACAAGTGAGTTGGCAATATCTAATCTTAAAGCTTACCTGAAATCGAATATATTTCCCTTTTAAAGAATTAAGGAGTCCTTTGTTTGGAAGGATTTGTACAAGGTGCGCAATGTGCATCCGTCCTTCCACAACCCTTTGGGTCTCTATGGCGGCCTTGTGTTGAGTGGTTTCTCCATCTTTATGGGCGGTCGCGAGCCCTGGACGTTGACTCATGGCCCCCAGGATCACGAAACGTTGCAGCCCGCCAATGTTAGCCAGCGCATTGTATATCCCAAGCCCGATGGTAAAATCACCTTTGATTTGCTCTCTTCGGTGGCGCTGACGGGCACCAATCACGAGGGTGATCAGCCCGCACATTTGACCCTGAAGGACGATCGCATACCCGTGGATCACAATCTGGCCCTCTACGAGGGGCCCGAACAGCGTTTCTGCCCCGCAGGCGTATACGAGTATGTGCCCAACGAGGAGGGTGGCAACATGAAGCTGCAGATCAATGCGCAAAACTGCATACACTGCAAAACCTGTGATATCAAGGACCCCAAGCAGAATATCAATTGGGTGGTGCCCGAGGGTGGCGGCGGACCCGCCTACAATGGCATGTAATCCCATCTATCTGTAAAGAGAGAAAAATAGCAATTTTATAAGTTGTACCACAATTGCATTTGATTAGTTTGTAATTCATATAAAAAAAAAACAAAAGATGCTAAATTCAAAATTGTTCGGAAATTATTTCTTAAAATATGTAATTAATTGCGTAAGTTCAAAGACAATAAAGGAAGTGTGAAAAAGTTAGTGAAGTTCAGTTGCCAAAAAGGTTTTTTTTTTATTTAAAAGTTTCTACTCTTGTTTAAAACATCAACTTAATAGGTAAATGTTTATTCCACAAACAATTTTTCAAAACCTTTCATATTCAGTGCACGGATAAAACTTGTTTACATAGTATAATATATATATATATATGTATATATATAATTATTATTTTTTATTGAATTTATCATTAGTTAGTTGATCATTGATGTTTTTCACCAAAATGGTAACTAAACTTTTTGCTGTTTTTGCCTAAACGTAATTACACTTACGATTCAGTTGTAAGTTATTTGAACAGAAATCGACATCGATGGTTATTATATATATATATATATATATATTATGTAATATCGATTTGGAGCGCATTTTCATAGATAACTTAACTACATGCATATCACTTAATTTGTATAATTTAAACATATTCATTTCGCCTTTTTCTTTTATGTTTTTTTTTTTTTTTTTTTTGTTATTTGTTTTAAGACAGCGCACTAAAGGTTTTATAAACTTTTAAACGCCTTTTTCTGGTACCCAATCATAGCTTAATTTCTTGTTTAAATATTATCTAATTGAAACTGTACGTATAATTTCATAGTTTGTGCTTTTGCGGGCTCTACCACGATTGATTATCAGGACAACGAATTGCAACAAATGTAACCACAATATCTTGCATTGTTAACACAAATACTTAGAAGAAAGAGGTGCCTGTCACATCGAAACTAACATATAACATTAACAACATTGAATATTATGACAAGAACACAAATGACAACAAATTATAGTATATTTCATCTAGCATAGTTGTGATTCAGAAATTGACTCAATTGAATCTATATAGTGTAGGTGCGCAATGTTCTCTCTTTTGTATATGGGGTATATTGAATGCATAAAGTCTTTTGCCGTTTAACACGCATTTGCTTAAATTTCTACTAGAGTTCTTATTATCTGTATCTGTATTCAGATTCAGGTGCCACATAGATCTCCACACAACAGTGCATACTTTTAACATTTTATACTAAATACAAACATATTCATCTAACTCGAGAACCAGTTTACACAGATGCCTTTCACAAATATATCATTCCATTCCATTATATTTATTTATTTATTCTTTTTGTTATGTTGTGGTCCCTGTGACCATAAAATCGCCTGCTAGACGGCCAGCTATATAGTGCACGGCTCCGACCTCATCGTAGTATAATTATCGTATATTTATATATATATATATATATTTGTGTGTATATATGCCAATCAAATTTTAGCCAATTATGAATTTTCTCTGTTGGTTTTTTGTACATGATGTGCTGCTCGCCTTCTGGAGTCATCCATTTTGTTCAAATTACATAAATTTAATTTTAGTTTTAAAGCTTAGTTTTAATTCAATTTGTTTACGTTTGCATTAACTACGTTCATTTTTTTAAATAGCACAATTAACACCTGTATTGAAATTATTTTCACCATCATGTTTTCTGTTTTATTAATTTTTTTTTTTTTTCAGTATAATTTTTTATGTTTTCTTGGTTACATTTTCAGCAAGTGATCGCTGTTTAACATTTAATTTTACGTTTATATTTTCTTTTTTGTTCATTTAAGAGGCACTGTTTTTAAGGCAACACACTACAGAGTGAAGTTTCAGTTACCAGGTTTATATTTACATTTAACTGAAAATTGTAAAACAACCAAATCTAGGGGAAATTTGGAAAAGTTCATTGCAAATTATATAAAAAAAATCATTTTTTTTTTGCGGGTTAACATAAAAGAGGTACACATATTTAATTGTAACACTACATTCAACACTCACTGTACTTGGTAAACTAAGTGTAAGTACTTATGAGTACTTTCAAGTACTGCTATGAGTACTTTTGAGTACTCTTAAGTATGTTTGAACCATTTATATATCTATGATCAATTTGTCAGCGTTTCCCATTGAATGTTTGTGCAATTTAGACTGAAGACAACTTCATCAAGATATTTCAAAAATGTCATCTAAAGAACTCGGACAATTTGGTTTCTCCCGTCTATTGTGGGTATTCTGCAAATGTTGAATGCCCTTCCAGTTAATATATTACCTTAATTATCATCTTTTCAATATATTGCTAGAAAATATGTAGCCTCTGGCTACTTTATCTTATATATATATATATGTCTATATCCCTATGTACACACATATACATAGCTCAGTTTTATTTCGTATATAAGTATATATATGTAAAGCTTGTTTGTTCTTCATCTTTGGGAAACCTGTAAAGTGTAAATGTTTATTGTTTGTGTTCATTTGTTGTGCATTCGGATCGTTAATTTCACGCTATATAAAGTATGCACAGCTGTTACAGTACACAGCATACAAATAGAAGTACTGTTAAATTATTTGCATATGGTTTTTAATTTTTTTTTTCACATTTTTCTTGTTTTTTTTTTTGTTTGTTTTCGATTCTTACAATTGGATGTATAAAGTGCAACAGGTCATATTGTGTTAGCGCAAATATTTACAGAGCGCGTTTACCTTTTAAGTGCGCATATTTATGCATTTATTTAAATAAAAACAACAAATGGGCAATTGACATGTACACAGCCACGCCCACCTAGTTAGGTACACATTTACTGCTAGCTGTTTAAACAATAAGAAAGAAAACAAAAAAAAAATAACAGAAAAAGAGGAAAAACCAATAAACAGCAACTAAAATTGTTTATAATCATTTTATTTAAATTATATTTTGTGTTTTGAGTTTTTGTTGTTGTAGATGTAGTTGTTGTTGTAGCTGTTGTTGTTGTTGTTGTTGATGTTTCACAAACTGCATTTGAAATTGTAATTCGTAAATGTAAAAAATACAAAAAGAAACTTAAGGCTCAACAATTTGAATAGAACGCTTCAAATCGAAAAGAAAAATTCACATTTAGGTTAATTACAAATTATGACTTCGTTTTGCTTAGAAATGAAAGAGAATATATAAAGTCTATCAAATAAGGGAGCAGACGCGTTGCTTAAACCAAAATATTACAATTACAATCAATTAATAATTAAATCAAGTTTTTTTTACTTCTTTTACTTTCGCACACGCTCCCACTAAGACTTAGAGCTACATTTAAATTATAAATTATATTTGAAAACTAAAATTAAACTGAGTCGTTGCATTAAATTAAATATTTAATCAATTGCATTTTGCCAAGCGTTGTGTGTGTGTGAAAAACTGGTTTAATCATAATCATAAATTGCACTTTAATTAGGAAACGAAATTATAGACAAAAAAAATATAGACGTCAGTGCAACATGTTGTTGAGTACATTCTCATGTGTGTGTGTGTGTGTGTGTGGGAGTGTGTGTGTGTGTGTGTTTTCTTAACTTTCAGGCGGATTATACAATTGCGTGCTTAGTTTGTAAAACTTGACCCCCTCATAGTTATATATATATATGTTTCTTATATATATCATATCATATGACTTGCATGCATTACGTATCTTTTAATTTTAATAAATTTAGAATTAAATTTTTTTATGCAGTTTCAGAACTTATTGAACCAAAATGTGTGTGTATGTACAAACATAAACGCATGTTGTGTGTGTTGCTGTTGTTGTTGTTGTTGTTGGTTTTGTTGTTGACTTAAAGTTAACATTAAATTGAATTAAACTAAATCAGCTCAACACACGCTAACAACTAACCAAGTGCCTGCAAAACTTTGCTGTACCTACCTTTTATCATTAATTTATATAATTTTTTATGGTTTAATTAACTAGCTACGGCTTGCGCACAAAACTTACACATAATTTTCATCTGTTTTCTTTCTTCTTTTTTTTTATATATATATATATATGGGCGTATGTGTGTTTCTGTATAGTTAATTTAAAATTATAACTATTACCACACATACATATAGGTATATATGTGTGTGTGTGTGTATATATATGTAACTATAAGTTAGACAATAATTGTAGATATGACACTGTCACTTGTTTTTTCGCTTAAAATTTAAAACCAATAACAAAACTTGTCGCTTCCAGCTGACTACTCAAAACTATTGCACGGCTCTGGAAACGTTAATGTGCTCTCCTGCTGCTGCTGCTGCTGCTGTTGTCGCTACTGCGCCTGATGTTGCTCTGGAGCATAGCCCACGGTCAGCTGCTGGCTGAAGCAGTCGTAGCCGCTGCCACGCCCATAGCTGGACACATTGAGAAACGTGCGTTCTTTGCGCGGCGGCGGCGGCATCATGACCAGATCATTGTCGCAGCTTGTGTTGCTGCTGCTGTTGTTGTTGCTGTTGCTGTTGCTAACTGGCTTCTTGTTGCTGTTGTGATGTTGCTGTTGTTGTTGTTGTTGTTGTTGTTGCTGTTGTTGTGGCTGTAGCTTATAGTTGCTTAAAGCAGCGCCACGTGCCGGCTATGTGCCCCAGCCGCCAGATATTCTTGGCCTTTTGTGATTGGGCGCATCATAGTCGCTTAGTTGTTGCTGTTGTTGCTGATGTTGCTGCTGTTGTTGCTGCTGTTGTTGTTGCTGTTGTTGTTGTTGCTGCTGTTGCTGCTGCTGCTGCACAGCAACTGCTGCTAAGCGCACATCCTGCTCGCTGCTGGGCGCACCTGCGTTCAAGATAATAAAATCTGTTAAACTATTAGTTCGAGCTGCACAGACTGTAAATGTGTGTGGCACGGGCGGGCAGCAGGCGGGCGGGCTTTTTAGGGCCAGACGCAATGGCATTCAACGCCTGGCAACTTGCGGTTTAAGTGTGTGTGTGTGTGAGCGTGTGTTGAGTGTGCATTTGTCTGTGTGTGTTAAATTAGCGCAAATGTTAGATTTCGTTCAACTAGCGGTTAGTGAAGAAATCAAAACAACAATTCAGGCTTTGGTTAGTTATTTGGGCATTTCAATTTTCAGTGTTGTAAAAGTAAAGAAATTGCTAGAGTTGAGATTCGGTCGTTGGGTAAATGTGTTGCAAAATCATAAAATGATTGACAGACTTTGCTGGCAGTGTATGCGTGTGTGCGTGTGTGCATGTGTGTGTGTGCGTGTGTCAGAGCTGATAAACAATCGATAAAGCGCGTTAAATGATTGATAATAAAAATAATCGATTAATTAAGACATTTTATGAACAGCTGACAAAAGTTGATTGATAACTAATTAATTTGCGAATAATTTTCCTATTAAATCGACTTTAACATTTGCTGTGAAGGCATCGATTACACTTATCGATATTGGTTATCGAATGCCCATCAGCTCTCGATTTCATATGTATGAATAATGTATGTCGAACTGTTTAAATATGCGTGTGTGTGTATGTGCGTGTGTTTGAATGTTTATTTCGTTTTCTTATGCATTTGGTTTGTGTGTTTGGCCAATTTACCGGCAAAATTCCATCTAGGATTATGTCCCATAAGCGCGCGGTACTGATATCCTTCATACTTATCATGCCCTAAAAATTGTCATATAGTTGTTGTTGTTAATTGTTGGTTAATTCAAAAACGAACAAGAAATTTGTAGCAGCAGCAAGAGCGTACAGAAATCGATCAATAGTTCTGGCTGCAATACTAAATGCCGGCTCATGCGGCGTATGCGTGACATTGTCACATTGCGCATACGCCGCTTGAGCCAAGCACAAGATTTACATTTATTTTTTTAGATAGCATTAAAAAACATGCCGCGAAAAAAAAAACACAATTCACAAAAAGTTGGCTCTAAATTAGTAGAAATATAAATTTTGTTTGGTTTTTTTTTCTTCTTTTCTTTTTAATTTGCAAGCGAAACATCGTTGCGGGAAAAAGCTGACAGAGAAAAATTGGTAATAGTTGAATTTGTGAACATACCTGGAGTCGGTGTTATGTGGCCGGTGGACGAGGGCCGCGAATTGGACATGACCAGATGCTGTTGCGAATGACTTAGAACGCTCAGATTGGTGGCCTGATCGGCGCTGCCGTTGCTCCCACCACCCCCGCCGCCGACGCCGGCGCCGCCCAGCTGTGTGATGGCATTGATGGCGGTAAGGACGCCGCCCGTTGTTGAGACATTGCTGCTGTTGCTGCTGCTGCTGGAGCCGCTGCCCGTGGAGCCATTGCTGTTATGCTGATGGCCACCGCCACCACCGCCACCGCCGCTGCCGCCGTTGCCGCTGGCAGAGAGATCACGTGGCGGCGATTGCGGCTCCGATTTGACCTTAATGGAGCCGGGTGAGGTGGCGGGCGGCGGTGTGCTATTCGAGACAGCCAGATGGGATAGACTGCAAGGCAGATTATGATGTTGGTCGCCGTTAAGTGTTTGCCTGCTGGGGCTGCTGCTGCTGCTATTCGCCGGGCTCGGGGCCTGGACTACCCACCTAGTGTGCTGCACGAGACCCTGATGCCACTGCGGCAGGCCCATTATGTCCGCGCTCATCGCACCCGATTGCGAAAAGTCCTGCGCCCCAAACGAGTAGCTCGCCAGCGGCGGCATCGGTGTCTGCAGCGTCACCACCGGCGTATTCAGCGACGTCTGGCTCTGGCGCTGCTGCAAATTTACCAAATAGATACGAATTTTAATCATGAATACATCGATTTGGGCCCAGCACTTTATATTGCCACATATTGTTCTCATTAACTTTATGGTCTTGTATAACAAAAACAAATGCTATCATATGGTACAGTATTTTATAACTTCTGCATCCTAAAGAAATTTCTACAAAAGAATTCTTCAGAGTATAACGAATGCTGTCTACAGTATAATTTCATAGGTAGAATGCTCTCATATAGTACAGTGTTGAATAACGTTAGTATTTAAAAAAAAACACTAAGAAACCACTATACTATAGAATATCTACTGTAGCGATAACGAAAGTATTTAATGGCAAAATTCCATAAGTAATATTGTACAGTGTTGTATAACATTAGCATATCAAAGAAACTATATAAGGCTGAACTACCATTGTACAGTGTTGCATAATGCATGATGTCTAGTGTTGCATAACAAAATAAAACCTATATTATTTTGACGCCTAGTGTTGTAAAACGAAGGCACTGGTAGAGTTCCAATGTAAGATACTTTCATTGTATAGTAAGAAAAGTGAACTTAGAGTCTGTCAAGTTGCGACAAATACCTGAACTTAAGAATACCTCACTAAAATATCGAATTTTTTATTAAGATATATAGACTACTCTTAAATAGTTAAACTTACATCTGCATAGGCGACATCGTCCGCTGTCGCCGACATATTCGGCGCTATGGTGGACGGTATGACGACACGCAAATTGGAAGCTCTTCCATTCTGGCTGCCCGGCGATTGTTGCTTAATGGGCAAATGATGCGCTGCAAAAATGGGATTTTAATTGTTTAGTACGTTTCGTAGGAGTTGGCCCTGGCTGGCATTGAATCCGTCTATGATTATGTGTCGATTAGGGAGTAGAGGGGCCGCAATCGGGGCAGGGCGTGTAACACAGTTAAATCAGGCTGGACTAAAACTCAGCTAATTGGATGGGTTATGTGAGTGTGTATGTGTGTGTGTGTGTATGTTAGGGACCCTTATTGTAATATGAATATTGTCATTATGCCCACCTATGCCAGGACTGGGACCTGGACTGGGTGATCCCACAAGCGGCGAATGTGAATGTGGATAACCGTTTGACATCTCCAACATGGTACCCGATGGATAGACTAATGTATGAAATATATAAGAATATATGCAAAGGTTTTAATCAGTTTATCTCAAAAAAAAAAAAAAAAAAAAAAACGAAAAAAAAAACAGAACAATTCGAAATCAACAACAAAAACAACAAATTGCAGGCAATGTTAGAGATTAGATAAAGTTAGAAATTCCCAAATAGTCGAGACTGTATTGTTAAATCGAAATTAGCTGCCTAAACGACGAGTTGTGCATGCAATAAGTAACGAGTTGAAAGGTTAATTAAATAGTTAAACTGCTCCTCAAAACGAGGGAAGGGGGTCTGGTGTAAGAGAAACAAAATACAAGTCACAAAACAGAAACAAAATAATACGTATTAGCGAGTAGCGATTAACGAGTAACGATTAAAGATTAACGAGTAACGAGTAACGAGTAGCGAGTAGCGAGTAACGATTAACTCAAAACGTAAAACAGCAACAGAAATAGAAATAAATGAAAATTGTGCACCCGAGACACTGTACTAACTTATTAAGGACATCCCACCTGAATCCGTCTCCGAACTCGATGGACGTGGGCTGATGTTTGTGTGGGACATTTGTGGGCTGGCCTGCAGCAGATTCTCACCGTAGGAGCCCGGCACTGGCACCGATACTGGCATTGTATAGCTTGTATTTGGCATGGCTCGATTCGGTGCACCTCCACCGCCGCCACCTCCGCCTCCGCCTCCGGCGCCGCCGGCACCACCGCCCCCCGTAACACCACTAAGAGCCATTTGGTTGCGCTGCATCATATTCTGAAATTCCTCGTCGATCTTATTGTATTTGGCTTCGGTGCGCGGGGTGAGCGTATAGTCGGCCTCCGCTTCGGGTGAATCCGGTGACATGACGCCGTTTTTGTTCTCTTTCTGCAAATGACAACCAGAGAAAGAGCAAGAAAGAGAGTGAGTTTGTGTGTGGGAAATTGTGTATGATGTGTGCAGGGGCGTGGCAAGGGGGGGACAAGTACTCGTAATTGGCCGTGCCTGGGCTGGGGCTGGGGCAGGGGCGAGGGCGGCGTGCGCACTTGGCACTTGACACGTCGCCGCTCTGTTGATGTGCTAAATTATGTAAATCTTGTCTACGCTCTGCACGGCGGCATTAACATTACAAAACAATTTAAAAGGCAGCAAACAAAAGACAACAGCAACAACAACAGCAACAACAACAAGAACAGCGACAATGTCCGCATTAGAAATGCAAAATACATTGGCGTCTCCTTCAACCCCGCCCCCGCTCCCGTCGTCATCCGCTTCCGCTTGGCCCTATGCCTTATAATTTCTTTGTTGTTAGGGCCCAAACGAAACGTTTTGTTGCTCAGTTGCATAGCTATTGTTGTTGTTTTAATTGTTGTACCCGTTGTTGTTGTTGTTGTTGTTTTGTTTATTGCTTTGTTTGTATTTTCCGCGTGGCTGCTGCGCTTTTCACAGCTCACTTGACATTTAATAATTTTATGCAAGCGCCGCGCGATAAATATCGATAACGATAACCTTCGAATACGCTTGTAGCGAGTAAAAACTGATGAGTAGCGAGTAACGAGTAAAGACTGACGAGTATCGAATAGTAAGTAGCGAACAGGGAGTGACGAGTTACGAATAGCGAGTAACGAGTATCAATAACGAGTAAAGACTGACGAGTAGCGAGTACGAAAAGCAAGTAGCGAGCAGTGGAGTGACGCGTTACGAATAGCGAATAACGAGTAGCGAGTAACTCACCTCAATAATATTCTTGTTGGTCAGCGATTCGTGTGGCTCATTGTATTCGGTGTATTTGAGCAGCACACGATCCATATCGGTGCTGGCATACTGATAGAGCTTGTTGCTGGACGAGAAGATGATCAGCGCTATTTCGCAGTCACACAGCACGGACAGCTCGTAGGCTTTCTTCATGACGCCGAACTTGCGCTTGTTGAAGGTCACCTGCGGGGAAGACACACAGCGAGCGAGATGGAGATAGAGAGAATTAGTGGTTAGTAAAAATAAAAATGTAAGTTAACAAAATTGTTTGGAATTGGCTGTTCAAATATTTATGCCAACTGTAATTAGAGGCTAGCCTTACAGTCTGCCACGAACTGCGATTGGTAATGAATCGATTATGGCCAAGTCAAGGCCAGAGGAGCAAGCTGCTCTTGTTGTTGGCTATTGGAGCAGCCAGTTATGACGCGTTTACGACTTGGTTAGGCATTAACCTTTACGATGCCACAAATGTCCTTTGCACGGACAAGTGCCAGCCGCCCGGACACGCACATCATGGGCGAGTGGTTCATTTGAATCAAAGCAACAGGGCTACTGAAAGGCAGCCAACAGGCAGTTAATGTGAGTGTTCAACATGAACTAGTTCATAAAATTATCGTCAGCTGGTTCTAATTAAGTTAAGAGCTGCATAAACAAGGTGCTGAATGCATATAAGAATCTTTAACTAGTTCATGGAACTGTTTGGAAATAGGTTAATGAACATGTCTGATTGGAACTAATTAAAGCGTGACAAATAAGTTCAACTGTTCAAGCTAAAAACCAACTAGAAGCTGAGCTGCAAAATATAGTTACAGAGTTCATGTAAGGCACTAAAATGTTTTGAGCTAGTTCATAGAACAATTAAGAAGCAGTTTGGGGAATGTATAAAGCATTAGACCAACTTTGAAATGAGCAAAAACCCTAAGAAAGTTTCTGATTCTTCTGAACTAGTTAAAGCGAGGCAAATAAGTTGACCTGCTTAAGCTAAGGAACTGTAGCGCGTCAAGTGTTTTTAACTAGTTCATAGAACAATTCAGGAACAGTTAAAAGAACATGTCAGCTCGCGAACTGAATTCTAAATGGGAGAGCTAAGAAAGTTTCTGATTGCAGCACTTTAATATTAAGTATACGCAGCGTTTGACTCACCTGTCGATTGCGTTCATCGGTGATGCGTGATATCTGAATTTTTTTGCGACCCATGGCAACAGATTTCGATTTGATACGCCCAAATGCTGTTAACAATAATAATATTTCCTTGCTGCTGTTGTTGTTGTTCCACTTCCTGTTGCCGCTGCTATTGTTATTGTTGCTGTTGTTGTTGTTGTTGTTGCTGTTGTTGGCTTAAATGTAAGGCAGCAGTTGCCTTACTCCTTGTTGTTGCTCTGGCAAACGTTGGGCATATTTGATATACATATAACTCGCTCTCTCTATATATATGTATATATATATATATATATAGTTGGCTCTGTATATAACTGCTGGACGGCTTCTCGAAACGGCAAAATGTTTGTTTTGTTTGTCTGTTTGTTTGTTTTTATTTATTTATTGTTTGCTCTTGTGATTGTTTTGTTGTATGTTAAATAAATATATTTGTTGCAGTATAAAGTGTATTCTCAGGTATCTGCAAAGAGAGTAAAAGGAGGCAAATTAATATGCATGCATTAACAGGTGAACAGGTGAACATCAACTATGAAAGCCAGCATTGAGCCTAACTCGGTTTTAACCCAGTTGGTCGCTGACTTCAAAAGGTTCGCCTGGCCGAGCAGACAGGCGGGCGCACAACTTGTTGACGCTTCATTGGCCACGTGCCGAAAGTTCAATGCACCGCCGAGACCAATATTTGGGTCCAGGCGCTGGCTGACCCATTTTATGGGCGTGTTCGGTTGTGTGTGTGTGTGTGTCCCTATTAGGCAGATTACTTGAATTAATTTATCGGCTGCTGCTGCTGCCGCTGCTGCGTTCTGGCAGCGAGCTCATTGACCATTGCAAATCCTTTATTAGGTTTTTTTTTTGTATTACATTTTTTTTTTTTTTTACATTGGCGTTAGCCTTCGGCCTTTATTATACGTGGCTCGCTGGACAAACTCTCACGCGTGATTAGCCTGCGCACGCTTTGATGTCCTTCAGGTGTCACACACACACACACAAACACACATACACGTAAAAACACACGCAATCACTAGGCTGTCCACGCAACACACGTTCTCTAACTTTTATATTCCTCAAAGAACGACAAATCATGAAACTAAAGTGAAAATTGAAAACTTTTTGCTTTTCTTTTAAAAGCAAAATTAAAAAAAAAATTAAATAAATAAAAGTTTTACGCAATGTCAAGTAATATAATATAATACATAATTATACTATATATTATTATATATATATATAAACTATATACTATTCACATAAGAAACATCATAAAATTGTGTTGCCTGCAGATAACGATTAGGTATATGATTCTCTTGAGATAACACTCGTTTACATACTTGGTTTGTGTTCAAAGCTTTTATACAGTTAATACATATTAACATAATTGCTAACAGCTGTAACTAACATGTAATGTGCCTGCTGTTGTGCACAAGCTGTTATTAACATGAGATAAGCTATCATACTCTAATGTTAAGTAGATGACATGCTCTTATAGTCCACTGTTAAGCAGATGACAATGACTTAACATCATTTGCCCGTACTGTTATGTTAACTGTGCACGCTTACAAACCTTACCATAAACTATACCATAAACAGTAGAGCATACTGTTAAGCATTAAGGCATGCTGTTAGTAACAGTTGTTCATTCTGTTTTGCACTGCTATGTTGACAGCGTACTCTAACAGACATTTCCATGATCTGTTAAAGTTCGCATAGCAATACAAATTTAAAGCTGTCTGTTAACATTGTCACGCTGTTTATGCAACTGTTGCCATATGGCGTGCTGTTCTCTGCAATTGACATGTTTATTTTTAAGCACATAGCTTATTTATGGCACACACTCCTTAATATACCCATTTTATGTGGCACTCAACTACAGGATATAAAATACAAAAGACGCCTGTGGCTACTGGCAAGGCACGTGGCACAAAACGCGAGCAACATCTCAGAGCAGTCTCCAGTAGTCGATACACGGCAATATGTGTGTGTGTGTGTGTGTTTTTTTTTTGTGCGTCTGACTGTGTAAACATGGCAATTCTTGTTGCTCGCCAAGCAGGAGCTGGCACGGCGGGAAAGCGCAAATTTCCGAGTGCGAGTGCCGGAAATCGAGGCAGATGAATTTCAATTGCTCCGCTTCGTCCCGGCTGTCGTTAGTCCTTTTGTCGCCAGCTTGCTTGGCTTGTTTGTCCTCCGGCCAGGAGAAAGCGGCTGCCAAGGCAACGTTTGCTTAGAAATGAGCGAGCCTCACGCAGCAACAACAACAACAAGAACAAGAACAACAATAACGACAACGACGACCTACGCAATATGTTTCAGCTTTCAACCCTGGCCAGCCAGCTGGGGTGAACAAAATTGTTATTGGGGGGCTTGGGCCCGGGCTTTTGGGGCAGGAAAGTGAACTCCACGTGCGGCAACCTTGACGCACAACCAAATAGGGGCACAGGACTACTCAAAAAAAAACCAAAAAAAAAAAAAAACCCCAATACGACAATGATTATATGGAACGTGCGTGCGTTTTGTATATTTCATTATTGAACCAAGAGATATACGAAAAGAGTTTTTGTCTGTCAATGAATCGATACTCTGTTGATAGAGTGCAGATGACGCGACGATCTGAGCCGATAAATGCACTACATATACCATATAATATACTTAGTACAATAGAAGTTGAGCACTTAGTTGCGAATAAAAGCTACGACTTAGTCATTGTAGCTGCTGGGCAGCGGGTTCTACGACTATTAGTCAGATAGAGTCGCTTTTTGCAATGCATATTACGCATACGCAGCGTTGCACACAGTGCCAGACAATTGAGCGTGGGCATAAAAACTTGTTTACTGGCAAATATTTTCAGCTAACCGAAAGCAATTAAAATACATAATTAGTTTGGAATATGACACGTGTCGTGAGCAAATTTTAAGGTAAGAGTTCTTAGTCGTAGATTTGAATAAAGAGAACTGGTTGATAAGGCATAAATATGTATATATATATATATGCGTCTAAATACATGTGCATAATGCTTAAGGGCATATCGAATAAGTATATGATAAGGCATATACTTATGGTGTCTACTGTAATCTTTAGAGTGAGACACGTGACACATGCCACCAGAACGAGGATAAGAGAGAATGAGAAAAAGACTAAAATATTTATATATCAACTTATTTAAACGTAGTTTTAAAAAGAGAACTTTATTTTGCCTAATCAATCAATTAACAAATATTTATTTGACAAACAAAAAGTTTTCTATCTAATTAAAAATTGTAGAAAATTGAGCACAAAATCCGTTTTAGGGGCCAACGACAAATATTTACATTAATCAGGCAAACTCTATGAGGTCAAATATTGTTGTATTGCGCTCAATGCTGATCTCTTGTGGGTACAAACAAAGGCAGCATTGATATGGGTACCTTTATAAGGCATTAACCGCTGAGTTATGGTCAGGCGCAAAGAGCGTCAAGTGTTACTCAGTTCATATTTTAAGTGAAAGGGCGAATGATAAAAAACACAAATAAACATGAAACTAAACGCAACAAATCGAAGCTCAACCTCCAAACGCGATAAGGACCCGCATTGAAGCCCCAAGCAGCAGCAGCAGGAACAACAACAACAAAAACAACAACAACAGCAGCAGCAACAACAACAACAACAACAACAACAAGCGCAACAAAGGAGAGAAATGCGTCACAGTAAAGCACAAAAACATGAATAATTGAAGCTGCTTAGCGGTTGGGCAGGCCAGCGTGTGTCAAGGGAGGGTCGAGGGGCAGACATTTGGGGGCAGCTAGCAATTAAAGCATTGAACCAAAACGCGTGTGTGCAGCTGTGTGTGTGCTGTGTGTGTGTGTGTATGTAATAAGCAGCTTATTATATGCATTAATTAAACAGCGCGATTCGAATCGAATTTCCATGTAAATATTTGAAATTTAATAAACAAAGCGAATGCAACACGAGCTCAACTCACGGATACAACATCAAAGATACAAATACAGAGACACACAGGCACGCGCGCACACACACACACAAATATACACACACACGCGCAGCTCTTCATGCGCTTGAATTACAAATTTATAGCATACTTTTGCGCGTCATTTGGGAATGTGAATGTATCGGATAGATCCTTAATTTGCAATTATTGATTTTATTTTTGATTTTCAAATGGAAATTATATTTGTATTTGCATTTAATGTGATAGTAAATATATATTTAAAAGAAAACAATTTGCTTAAAACATGCATAGCTCGCAAATATGTCAGAAATGCCAATTGGAAACATGGCGAACTCATGTAACTTTAATAAATAAAATATTGAACGAAATAAATAAAAGAGAAATAAGAAATTGGAACCCAGAGCCTGAGAGCATATCAGGAGAATTAAGAGTTTAAATATATAATTTATATAATTGATCAAGATAGCTTGATATACAATCAAGTTTTGCAACTAAGAACCTACTTTTCGACCAATCGTTCCTACATGATCCGATTCGGCTGATTCCCACAGATTTACTGCCTGCAACAGAAAGGTGGACCTATGATAAGTTCCAAGACGATAGCTCTCGAATTGAGAGAGTAGTTCTCATAGAAACAGACAGTCGGACAGAAGGACGAATGGGCGACTGGGCAGAAGGACACGCGGTGGGAGGTACGGACAGACATGACTATATCAAGCCGGCTATTCATGCTGATCAAGAATTTATATATACTCTACATATTTTCAAATGTCTCCTCTTATGTTTATACTCTCTATAAGGGTATAAAAAGTTGATTATTTATTTAATATATTTCGCAAACAATTTTGCCTAGAATATGTCACTTTTTGACTATTTCATTTAATTCTATTATTTAAGCAAAATATGTTGCTATAGTTCTTTTCTCTTGCTGTTCTTTTATTGGCTTTGGCGCAGCTGCTGCTGCTGCTTCTTATCAATGCGGCGGCCTTATCGAAATCTGCATTTGCTGCGGCTGCTGCTGCCGCTTGCCACTTAGCTGCTGGCCAAGCGATTAGATTGCCAAAAGAAAAAAAAAGTGCTCTAAGTGCTTAAAGGCCGACAAAATGCGAGGAAAAAACTAGGCAAAGCAAAGGCAGCTATAAATCAAAATAGCACGTCACAGGAATAAGCTTGTCTGTGTGTGTGTGTGTTTGTTTGTTTTGTTAAACAAAAAAAAAGTAAAGCCAGGCAGTTGCACAAGTGCTTACAGTGACTAATTGCAGGCAGCAGGCGGCACATGAGCTAATCAACCCGGACACAGGCGGTGGCAAGTGCGAAAAAAAAATGCTTTGCCCCGGGGTCAAAACTTAACACAGTTTGTTGCTGCAACAATTAAACAGTTGCGGTGTTGCAGCTTGCCGCTTGACTGGGTCAGCCGCACTTGAGCACAGCCCACAATAAGACAGCGCCAACCAACAGCCAGACAAAAGGAAGGAAGGAAGGAAGGAAGGAAGGAAGGAAGGAAATTCTAGACGCGATTTCTGCAG